CCACCGCGAAGGTGGGTCCCGAGAGGATCACGACGGGCTGGCGGGGGTTGCCGAGGCCACGAGGAATGACCTCTGTCATCATCTCCATGGTGCCCAGCTCCAACCCCTTGCTCACGCACAGGATGGGCAGCGTGGGGGGGACGTACGCCGCTATCGACTGCAGGAAGGCCGCACTTGGCTGTGGGAATGGGAGGACGGGTGGAGGGTTGGGAGAGGGAGAGAGGGGAGAGGGAGGCTTGGGTGAGAGGTTGCTCGCTGATTCTGTTTAGAGTGCGTCGTGAGTCATCATATCCATGGTGCCCAGCTCCAGCCCCTTGCTCACACACAGGATGGGTAATGTCGGCGGCACGTACTCCGCTATGGACCGCAGAAAGGCCGCGCTGGGCTGCAAGCACGGGGAGAGAAAGAGAGAGAGAGAGGGTAGGGGAGGACGGGTGGGAGTGGGAGGGGGGGCGTGAGGGTTGCAAGTGGAACTCTGTCGGAAATGCGCTACGTCATCATCACAATCGTGCCCAGCTCCAGCCCCGTACGGATCGACTGACTGAGTATTGGGTTCAGATCAGAGTCCCATAAGCGTCACATCTGAAGGACGCATTTTGATTGTGCTTGGCTGGCTTGAGTGCAGTGAATGGTACGTTGCGCCGAGGGGTTGGGCTCACATCGAGCACTTCGACCCCTTCCACAACTTCTCGACCCCTAGAGCTGCCAAGACGTTACAGCACCCACCGCTCAACACCTTCCCTGCCATTCATCATTTCCCTTTCCCCTCATACCCCCCCTCTCACCTGCACGGGGATGGCGTGGATGGCGTAGTGCGCGCCCGAGATGGCCTCAACACAACCCCCACCGTCCCGCTACCTCCCCCCCACTCCCCTGTCTCCCTTCCTCCCCTCATAATCCTCACAAGCCCCTCTCACCTGCACGGGGATGGCGTGAAGGGCGTACTGCGCGCCCGAGATGGCCTCCCTGGGGTCCGTGGTGGCGCGCACGTTGTCGGGGAGGATGATGCCCGGATGGCACGCGCTGGGTGAAGGGGGAGAGGGAGGTGAGAGGGAAGGGGACGGGGAGGGGGAGGGGGAGGGAGCGGGAGAATGTGAGAGGGCAACCCTGGGGTCCGTGGTGGCGCGCACGTTGTTGGGGAGGATGATGCCCGGATGGCACGCGCTGGGTGAAGGGGGAGAGGGAGGTGAGAGGGAAGGGGACGGGGAGGGGGAGGGGGAGGGAGCGGGAGAATGTGAGAGGGCAACCCTGGGGTCCGTGGTGGCGCGCACGTTGTTGGGGAGAATGATGCCCGGATGGCACGCGCTGGGGGGCGGTAAAAAGTGAGGGTTGGAGGGATGGAGGAAGAGAGAGAATGAGAGATGCTCAGGCAGTGAGCGGACGGGCAAGCCAGCCAGGCGAAGGCGAGCAGACAATGAATGAGAGAGCCAGCGAGTGACTCCGTAGCAGGCACGCATCGTGGCGTGGATTGAGTAGAGACGTCTCGAATTTCACAACTCAATAACGAATCAGTCAGTTCGCAAGCCGCAGCAGGCAGGCAGGCATCGCACACGCCGCCCGCAGAGCAGACCATACTTAGAGGACGAGGAACGCGAGGACGGTGAGATGGATCTCGTCGAGCGAGCGAGCGGGTAATGCTGGTTGGAATGCGCGTTCGTTTGTACCTGTTACAGTGCAGCTCGTTAATGTTCTTGCAGTCCTCCTCGAAGCGGTGTAGAATCACCACGTCCAGCTCCGCGTTGTTCCGCGCCAGCATGTGCGCCAGCGCCGTCCCGAACGCCCCCCCGCCGAAGATAACGACCTGGCGGAGAAAGCACGCGCGGAGACGAAACGAAGTGGAATCGGGGGAAACGGAGGCGGAAGAGAGGGTGGGGTTGGGGTGGAAACTGGGGGAAAGGGGATGTGGAGAAGCAGAACGAGGGAGAGGAAGCAGCAGAAGTTCGGAACTTACAAAAAGGAGTCAAAGGCTCAAAGACCGTATTGTGGGCGCGGGCAAGTAAGCGGTAAGCTGTTAAAGAATCACTGTAAGTGTTTCACACTCTGTCTCACACACTTTAAACCAGGTGTGACTTTTTCCACACAGCATATAGATGGCGCTGATCTGACGTGGCATATTCTGAGGGAGCCACAACAATGAACTTTCTTCTGAATGCCCCGTAATGTGCTAATGCCCTACACACCTCTTCTGTCTCTTTCAAAACAATTTCACACTTTGTTTCTTCTTCAGGCCGTTCACAGCTTAGTAGATTTCTTACTCCCCAGCAAACTTCACGGATCGAACGTTCCGTATTTTCCGCATTTTCGAAATAAATCGTAGAAACCAGTACCAGTGAAATCACAAGCAAACTTCAACGTCTCACTCCGTCTTAGAGCGCAACATTTTCGTGAATTCAAAAGTCGGAGGAGGACCTTCGAGACCTGTCTTTTGCAAAAGAAGTTTCACACATAGGAGACATGGCTGTATTGGTTACATTGTAAAACGACGACGAACTCTCACCTTGGTGGTTTCCTCGTCGGCGTTACTGGTTTCCTTCACGCGCCAGAACTTGCCCAACCGCATGAGCGCCTCCCACGCGTTCATCAGGTGCCGAGCGAAATGTTCGCCGCGGCCTTTTGAGGCGCCTCAAAACACTCTTTACACATTGGAGGTTAGATTCGTGACTGTATCTTACCTTGGTGGTCTTCTCGTCAGCGGCATTGGTTTCCTTCCCTCGCCAGAACTTGCCCCACCGCATGAGCGCCTCCCACGCGTTCTCGACCTCCGTGGCCTCCGCTTCGTTCATCAGCGCGCCGACCGAAATGTTCGCTGAAGCTTTCTCCTTGTCCTGCGCGATCGACGCGGAGTCCGGCCGGTTCGTCGCGCCTGCGCTCACCGCGTGAGATATCCGTTGCTCAGGCGAGGAGGAGAACGAGGAGGACGACGAGGAGGAGTCGTGTTGCTGTTTATGCTGGCGGTCTCCCGCGCCAACCGGCCCATGGCGGCCGGCATTTGCGCTGACACTGACGCGACCGGTTCTCCTGCTCGTCCGGCTTTTGTTGATTGGCGACACATTCAGGAGCTTAGATTCTGAGCAGACTTGATTCGATGAGCTTGATAGTAGTTGCAAGCTGCTCTTCTGGAAGGAAGTCGCCGGTTTTGAGACTGAAACACGGGATTGTTGATTCAACGCTCCTGGTAACGCATTTGCGGGAAGAATCACAGCAGCACGCGCAGTTCCGGTCTCCATCTCGGGTGTCGATAGAGAAGGTTTACGAAGAATTCGAATCAAGGCAGATCCTGAAAGTTACCAGAAACAATACGTAAGATTGCGGGTGAATGGTTGAACCTAACGTTGGCAAGCGTCCGTTTCGAGAGTCTCGTATGAATTAGCTTGGATTGAGAATGAATTGTTCCTGCTACAAGATTCTTGAATTTGACCAGGGCTGCTCGGGCCTTTTGGTTCCTGCTTGGCTTACTATTGGTCAGTCCTTAGGAAATCTGCTTCAGTCTGGCCGATATTTACCAGCTCACCAGCAGCCATTCAACAGCAAGACTCTCCAGGTCCTCCGTCTCAGAAAGCAAAACACTTGCATTACTCCCAGCTCGACTGACCAGTTGAGTAGATACAGTAGCTAGTGGTGATCAAGCCTGAATTCACTGGGTCATCCGTTCCACTACTGGCTGGTTCAGATCTGCGGTATTCTCAAGGGCCTCTGATAAGTGTTCCCTTGGGTGTTCGGATTGGTGATGCTTCATCACCTGCAACACGAAACTTTAACGAGGGTCGTGACTGTTACTCGAATTTTCTTTTGCCAGTGACGTTGTTCGTCAAGACTGTTGGCGAAGAAGCTGCTCCAGGCTGTCAACTCCGTGTGCCCAATGACAGACCAGACCGTGCCAGGTCAGACAGGTTCGAGGCGCAAGTCACAAGTCAATAAGGTCAGGACACCTGTGATCGCGATTGGTCTCAGGATGAGGCTTGCCCAGGCGCTGCGGGAAGGGAAAGGTGCCGAATTCACGGCAAAATAGGCAATCCCATTTGCCGAGTGTGCGAAGCTTCCCGTGCTGGATAGCCAACCACGTGTGTACCTACGTGGCTCCAGTAGCCAGAAGCCGACTTCTCACAACCTGCGCGAAATGTCCGGAGAGGTTACCAAGGCACGTGAAACCGCCAGCAATGCGAACCGTACTGCACTCCCACCCGCGCGGAACCTATCTCCCGAACAGCAAACACAGGACATGGAAACGTTATCCTCTATCAGTGTACTACATACATACACCCCGTCTTGGACTGAATCGTTAACGAGTGTGCTACAATGGGAGCTGAGAGCGTGGTGGAATTCAGTAGCACCTGTCGACAAAGCAATATATATTCGCCACGTGGTGATCATGAGCACAAGTAGACAGGTCACCGCCCCCTAAACACCTAGAAATTACATGCAGCATAGCGTTCCTCGAGCCGCATTTCCAAGCCCTCTAAACGGGCGACAGATTCACCGTTGGCCAGTATGGTGCGACGCGGGCATTCAGGCAGGCAGGCTTGCTCCAAATACGTTTCCTCGTTTCATGACACTCGTGCTTTTTCTTCAGTTTCCGATCGCTCTTTAATCTTTCTGCAAGCATATCCAAGATTCTCGATACACCTCTACCAGCTAGAGCTTCCTACATCACAGCGTAGTACGCAGCGTGTCCCAGGACCTTTTCGCGAATCTAATTCCGATGGCGTCCCAGCAGCAGCAGCGATTCGAAGTGAAGGTTTCTGGCCAGGCATGGACCGTTCCCGTCCTCGCTCTTTCACTCTCCTTCTTTCGCTCCCGCTCTTGTATTCCGGCCTTCCCTGTGCCGTTTCCGGCTTTCCTTGGGTGACCCCCACGCTGTGCCATCCCTCTTTCTGTCCTTCCGTCTTTGAACCCTCACAGTCGTGTTTCATCTCACGCTATGACGAGTAAATACTCTGCTCTCCCATGCTTCTCCCTCTTGCTTGTGCTTGCAGGGCGAAGGCCAAGGCCAGGAACCGAAGATGGTTCCTTCGGGGACGATTGAACCTGAGTCAACGGAGATGTTTTCCGGTCAACCCAGTCAGCCGTACGGTCAGAAGTACGGTGAACCCAGTCAGACGTACGGTCAGCAGTACGGCCAACCCAGTCAGCCGCACGGTCAGCAGTACGGCCAACCCAGTCAGCCGTACGGTCAGCAGCCCGGTCAATCTGGTCAACAGTACCGTCAGCCATACAGCCAGCCGTACGCTCAGCCGTTCCACCCTTCCAGCGAGGAGGAGGAACTGCCACTCCTTGCAGGCGGAGGGCGAGGCACAGGAGCAGGAGCGACCCCACATGAAACGTCCGCAACCATAAGGTAAGCTGCTCGTATGGTTACTCACTCCTGCGGTCAGCTCTGGTTTGCTGCGGTATGCTGTGGTCAGCTTCGGTATGCTGCGGTGTGCGGCGGTATGCTGTGGTCAGTTCTGATATGCTGCGGTGTGTTGTGGTCTGCTGTTGTCAGCTCTGGTGTGCTTCGTATGCTGCAGAGATTTCTGGTATCTTGCAGTCGGATCTGCCATGCTGCGGTACAGTGCGGTCAGATATGATATGATATGCCTTGGAGAGCTCTGCGATCCGCTGCACGCTGCCACAATCAATGATTAGACTCAAATCTTGCCTTTCGCTCTTCCCTGCTTCCCCCCCCCCCCCTCCCACCCCCACGTGTAGACTTCAGTTTGTTGCATTCCCTTTTGTCTGCTGCTACCTCTCCCTTTCTTGCAACCTTTCCCAGCCCCACTGGAATGCCTGAGGACGTATTTCACACGCATAAGCTAGAGAGGAGCCCAGAATTCGGGACGCGTGGGCCAGGGATCAGCCCAGAAATTAGGACGCATGAGCCCGGGCGTGCATATGGGGCGTCAGCTGAGGGGGAGGCTGGGCCGGGGTGGGCGCAAGGACACGGCGTGAGGGGCATTGGGGAGGGAGGGGCGGGTGTGGGCGGGACTGGGCGGGCGGGCAGTGGCGTGGGGGCAGTGGAACGGGCACTGGCGCAGATAGAAGGGGAAAGTGCGCCTGAAGGGGCAGGTGGGCGGGGGATAGGCGGAATGGAAGGTCGTGGAACGGAGGGGCGTGGGATTAAGGACGTTGGGACGGAGGAGCGTGGGATGGGTGGCAGTGGGTTGGGAGGAATTGAAATGGGTCAGACCGTGGGAGTTGGGCCGTTTGGGCATGGGAGGGAGAGGGCGAGAGAGGTGGCAGAGGAAGGGGAGGGTGTGCTAAAGGGTGGTTATGGGCAGGTGAAGGTAGGTGCGGGGAAGGCTGTGGAGGGGGCTGAAGGAATGGTGACTAAAACGGGCGAGCAGGGCATGAGGATGGGCCAGGGTGTGATTGAAACGGGTGAGAGTATGGCGAAGATGGGCCTGAGTGCTGCTGAGCGCGCGGCAGAGACAGGCATGGGTGTGGCGAAGGGGGTTGCGGGTACAGGGTTTAGGGTTGCTGAAAGCGCGTTCGAAACTGGGAAGGGTTTCGGGGAGAAGGCTTTGGAAACGGGGAAGGAAGTGGGGGGGAGAGTGGCGGAGACGGCTGGAAGGTGGGTTCCTGGAGTGCCGTTTGGGGAGCAGGGGGAGGAGAGGACAGGAGAGGCGTTTGAAAGGGGGAGGGAGACTGTGAGGAGCGTGGGAGAGAGAGTGGAGGAGGGGGTGAAGGGGGTGGTTGGGAGCGGTGTTAGGACCGCTGAGTCTGCTGGGCGGTGGGTGACTGGGGTGGGAAGACCGGGCGTGAGTGAAGACGAGGGGAGAGGCGGGGTGAGTGGAGGGAAAGGTGGTGTGAGTGAGATGGGTGGGGCTGGTGGGGAGGGGCGGGAGGAGGGGGCATATGAGAGGGGCAAAGAGGCTGTGAGGGGAGGGCTGGGGAGTGTGGAGGGGCAGGTGAGGGGGATGGTTGGCTTGGGCTCTCGTGGTGGTTCTGGTGGTGTCAGCACTGGTGGTGAGGCTGCTGGTGGGAAGAGTGGTGGTGGGAGTGTTGGTGGCTTTGGTGGTATGAGCACTGGAGGGGGAGGGGTTGGAAGCGGTGAGAGTGGGTGGGGAGGGGCTGGCGAGCGAGGCGAGCAGGCCGAGCGTGAAATGCGTGCGAAGGAGCGAGAGCTACGTCAATCCGGCCGCCCGGAAATGACAGCAACAACTGGAAAAGACACCCTCCCGCAGAAAGCATATGAAGCAGCACAGGAGGGGGCGGAGATTACGAGGCAGCAAGCTGGGGAGGTGGCCGGTCAAGCAGGGGAGATGGCTGGACAAACAGGGGAGATGGCTGGACAAACAGGGGAGATGGCTGGACAAACAGGGGAGATGGCTGGACAAACAGGGCAGATGGCTGGCCATGTGCCTGAGAAAGGAAAGGAGCTGGGGGAAAAGGCGATGGAGGTGGTGCAGGAAGCAGGGCAGGTGGGGATGCAGCAGGCTAAGGAGGCTGGTTCAGTTGCTAGTCAGGTGATTCGTCAGGCGTATCGCAAGTGGATGGGTGCTGTGGAGGAGGAGGGCGAGGAGGAGGAGGAGGAGGGAGAGGAGGGGAAGGGAGTGGGAATGGGAGGTGTGGGGACGGTAGGAGAGGGAGGAGGGGCTGCTATGGAGGGAGTGACAGGAACGCTTGCAGCCGGGTAAGAACTCTCGAGACTTTGTTGATATTAACATGTTACCCCCTTCTGTGCCGTGTGCCATGCTCCAATGGGTTCTCGGTTCATTCCAGCACAAAACCGTGACTGGATTATGTTTTTTTTTTTAGATGTATATTATAAATATGTACTCTTTTTTTTTACCCACACCAGATACCGCCAGGCCAAGCAGGCAGCCCAAGCAGGGCTGGAGACAGGGCAGCAGCTGGCTGGTGGAGCAGTGGAGCGAGCAAAGCACGTCGAAGCTCCTGTACTCCCCGGCCTTGAGTCATCTACAACTTACGAGCAACGTCCGGGAGTGCAATTTCGTTCAGCCGCTGCTGGTGTTGGCCCTGGTGGTGCTGGTGGCACTGGTGTTGAGGGTGAGGGAGGTGTGGCGCTGCGAGGAGGCACGGCGTATGAGGCGGGAAAGGAGTATGTGAAACGAACGCTTGGAGGGATTGCGGGAGGAACAGGGGGGGAGACGGGAGCAGAAGCAGGAGAAATGACCGGCACTGGCATTCAGGTGTGTGATTCGGTGACCTGTGGCTCATGCTTCTGGATACTCACGGCAGTCTACCTTGGCAGTTTTTTTTTTTTGTGAATGAAACAACCCTAAGTTTTTGTCTGACAGCAAACGTCTGGGCATGGTTGGTTGTGTGGATGGTTGTTTCTGCTGGTGCATGCAGGGTCAGGGACTTTCGGAAGGAGGAGTGGTGGGCAGCTTGCAGCAAGGGTAAGCAACAATCTTTAAGGGTGTCTACCATGGCTAACTAGTAAATACCCTCCTGCCGACCTCCATATTTTGAGCCTCAAAATAACTTCTGGAGTCAGCCAAGCCCCCAGGATTCCGTATCATGGCTACTAAAAATTGCTCTCCTGCCAGCTTCCATGCTTTGGCCTGCCTGCCCAATCCTTCAGTCCCTTCACTTGCAGTCTGGCCTCCCTCTTTCCTCCTCTCCTCCTACCAGGTACCGCCAGGCGAGGGAGACAGCACAAGCGGGCCTGCAGTCAGGGCAGCAGCTGGCTGGCGGGGCAGTGGAGCAGGCGAAGCAGCTTCCAATAAAGAAAGCAAGCAATTCACTCCGTTCCTTCGCCCTCCCTCCTCCCTCCTTCCTTCCCTCCCTCCTTCCTTCCTTCCTACCAGGTACCGCCAGGCGAGGGATGTAGCACAAGCGGGGTTGCAGTCAGGGCAGCAGCTGGCAGGTGGCGCGGTGCAGCAAGCGAAGCACCTCGTTGCTCCGGTGTGTCCAGACACAGTGTTGTCAGCTCCTCTAGTGCCTTCGCTCCCCTCTGCCCATACCAGGTACCGCCAGGCGAGGGAGGCAGCACAAGCGGGGCTGCAGTCAGGGCAGCAGCTGGCTGGCAGATGGGGCGGTGCAGACAGGCGAAGCACCTCGTTGCTCCTCGAAGCAGCAGTGGTTTCAGCGCCTTTATTCCCCTCCTCTTCCCTGTCCACACCAGATACCGCCAGGCGAGGGACGTGGCGCAAGCGGGGCTGCAGTCAGGGCAGCAACTGGCAGGAGGGGCGGTGCAGCAGGCGAAGTACCTCGTTGCTCCCATCCTCCCTGGTGGGGCCAGTGGAATGGGTGGAGAGAAGGGTGTGACTGGTGTGATGGGGCGAGGAATGGGTGAGGAGCGGGAGGCGTCTGCATATGAAGCAGGGAAGGAGCGAGTGAGAGGCGCTCTTGAAGGGATTGCAGGAGGGACGAAGCGTGGAACAGGAGTAGGAGCAGGCACACCTACAGGAGTTGAAACGGGAGTTGAAACTCGGTCCGCTGGTGCTGGGGCGATCCCGGGGGCAGGGCTCGTGACAGGTGTTGCTGACGTGGCACGGCGGGCTGTGGGGACCACAGCGGACACAGCGAGAGGCGTGGCAGGAACAATAGGAGATACGGCAAGCAGGACGGTGGGAACGACAACGGAAACAGCGAGAGGTGTGGTTGGGAAGATGGTGGGGATGGGGGAGGAGGTGGCTGGGAGGGGGTATGGAGCGGTTGAGGGGACGGTTGGAGGGGTGGTGCAGGGTGTGAGGCGGATGACTGGGCTGGGTGGGAAGGGAGGAGAGCTGGAGGGGGAGATGGGGAGGGAGGGAGTGGGCATGGGAGAGGGTGGGATGGAGGGGATAGGTAAGGGAGAGGGCGGGAGGGAGGGTGTTATGGGTACCGTGAAGGGCGTTGGGGAGCAAGTGAAACACTTGGTGTTGGGAGGGGAGGGAGGTGGGATAATGGAGGGAGGGGGATCTTCTGAAGAGAGGAAGAGGATGGAGCAGATGGAGCGAGAGAGGGAGGAGGAGAGTGCGAGGGAGAGGGGTAGGAAGCAGGCTTATGCGGTTCTGCACGGTGCAGAGGAGTGGGTGGAGGGGACAGTGAGTCGTGTGGCTGGGGTGCTGACTGGGGGACTGCTTGGAGGGAAGGGGCATGGGGAGAGGGCAGGGGTCGGTGCGGTTGGTGGGGAGGAGATGGGGCGGAGGGAAGGCGGGGAGGGAATGGGGACGAAGATGCAGGGCTTGGTGCAGGGCGGAGGTATGGGGGGAGAGATGGGGGAAGGAGTGGGGGGAAGGGGAAGGGGAGTTACTGGGGGAGAGGTGGGGGTCGAGGAGGAAGTTTCTGGGAAGCCTGTGGAGACGAGCAAGGGAATTCTGGGCAGTGCAGTAGGGGCGGTGCAGAGTGTGGTGGGGGGTACTGCTGACGTGGCTAAGCATGCTGCTGAGTCAGCTTTTGGAGCGACCAAAGCTGTGGGGGGAGCAGTGGTGGGGGCAGGGGGGAGTGCGCTGGGAATGGGGCAGAGGGGGGTGCAGCAGGGGGTTGAAGGGGTGGGGAGTGGTCTTGAGTATGGGAGAGAGAGCCTGGAGAAGGGGTACGAGGGAGCAAAGCACCTAGTGGGGCTGGGAGGAACACAGGGTGAGGAGAGGGTGGGACGAGCTGGGGAGACAATGGGCAAGAGGATGGGTGAGGGGATGAGTGAGGGAATGGGCGGAGGAATGGGGGAGGCAATCGGAGGGAGGGGAAGGGAGATGTTGGAGGAGGAGAGTTCTGTGGAGAAGGGCAGGCATGCGGTGCTATCGGTGCTGGAAGGAGCAGAGAGGAGGACGCTGGGTGCAGTGAGCACTGTCACTGGAGGGCTTATTGGTGGGGGAGGGGGTGAGCACGCAGGGGAGGAGCGAGCGTCTGCTACTGCTGTTGGTAGTGTTAGCACTGCTGCTGGTGCTGCTGCTGGTGGTGGTGGTGCTGCTGCTGCTGGTGGTGGGGTGGCAAGGCAGCAGGCAGCTGCGGGGCTACCTGTGTCTGCAGCAGGGGAGGGAGAGGCAGCAGCAGTGATGGCTGGGCCAGGGGGGAAGGTTGCAGCAGTGGGGCGACCTGAAGCAGTGGAGGAGGCAGCACGGCCGGTCATGGAGCCAGGCGCGTGAGGTGACTATAACAAGGGTTTGGGAATGGGTGACGTGATTTACTGTGATGCTGATGGAGGGAGGGATGAAAATGTATGGTGAAATTGTAAAAGTCTGCTTTTTTGTTTGTTTGTTTTTTTGTTTTCCTGGTTTTTTTTCCTTGTTCCTTCCTCCACACAGGGTCACGGTGGTCTGCTACAGGGCTTCTGAAAACCTTCTTCAGCCGCCTATAACATGTGTCATATGCTGCTGCATGATGTGTGGGTTGAAATGGTGGTGTACATTTGTATATTTTGTTTTTAGTTATGTTGCTTTTTGTGTCTCCCGTCTTGCTTGGCAATAGAATCCTGCTTGCCCTCCATCCCATGGACGTGTATACAAAGTTGATGCACCTGCTCGGGAGTTTGAAGGGATCAAATAACCAGAACAGCAAAACTTAATTGAGTGAGTGTCCTTGGTTGTCATATATTACAGAAAATATAGTGTACATATTTTGAACATATATCAGCGTGCAATAATCGAGCACCTGTGGTGACAACGAGTCTCGATTCTCCCTTGGCAAGGTCGCTTTCGTCGCTTTCGTCACAAATTGCGAGTGGCATGTTATATCTGTGGTGCTGACGACAGAAGTCAATGGTCAATGGTCAGTATATTATGTCCAAGTTGATCATTCTGTTTCCTAGCGGCTTCCACCGCACTCGCATCGCATCACATCGCATCCCACCCACACCCTTGTTCGAGCGGTGCTGGCTCGCTCGCCATCAACCAGCGCTGCTCTGTCTCCAGCCTAGAACCAAATCCAACCACGAACAGCAGCAAACCGACTCAAACCGTTCGGAAACGTGTTAGTCATTCCCCTCCACCGACTTCCTCCATTTGTTTGCGTCATGCGGTGGCGGGTTGTGATGTGAAGTTGAGGCCTTGGGGCAACCTCATATTCGAGCTTTGAAAGAAGTTTCAACAGGTTTGATATGGTTCCGAAACGTTATAGCACGGTACAGTTTGGTGACTTGAGCATACATCCATCCTGACGCACCGCGCCGCGAGGTCCACGGGCAACCGTATGGAGAGATCGCGAAATGGTCAGACAATCTGTGGGGTCTCTTGGACTGTATTATTTCGCTGGTTCTGCATCTCTCGCAAAAGAGATTTCTGCGTCCTGCCATCGTCGTGCTTGGAACAGGATGAGAAACCAGAATGTAGATGGGAGAATGGACACTGTCCCACGTTTTGTGTGTGAAAGTACGGATAATAATCTCTCCATAATCCCTAGTTCGGATGAATAGCAACCAACGCCAAGTCATGACGGAAGCGGAACTCACGGAGCCATCAATCGACCAGCCGTCAATAAACCAGCCGTCAATAAACCAGCCGTCAATGGACGAGCCGTCAATTGACGAGTCGCGTAAGCTTTCCAGACGTTCACAATCGTTAGGCAGCGCAACTTGCGGCGAGCGGACAGCCATGGCGCAGTGTCCACCGAACGCGGAGCCAATCATAGCAAACAATCAATCCGCGCCGACAGGGTTCCGCCACCGCTCCCTATCCGCAAGTTCTCGCGGCTTTCCCGCCATTCGAATCGTCATCCCCGCTGACGACGACGACGACGCATGTGACGACACGCGGGGCGACGACACGCCGTGCGACGACTCGTGCGACCGAGCGAGCGATGATGCTGCGCCGCGGCCCCACTCCGTTCAAGCCGCCCCCTTTCCCATGCCACGTGGCAACTCCGTAGAGGTTGACCGCCTGTGGGAAGTCCACGGCGCGTCGCCGTCCGGATTGAAATCGACCGGAGAAATAACAAATCGGCGCCAGGAACGACTAGGGGGGGCTGGGAAAGGGGAGAAGCAGAAAGCGCGGAATGCGGAAGGAGCGGGCTCGTCCGCCCGCGCGCCAAAACAGTCACCGCTAGGTTCCGCCAGCGGCTTTGCGCGCATGCTGCTGCAGTGGGCGCCTTCGTCGGCGCGCACCAGCCGCCGCAAGAAACGCGGCGATTCTGCGACCTTCGGCTTTCCGGCGCCCCGGTCCCAAAGCGTTGTCCAATCATCGCAAAGCCAGCGCGTTGCTGACGTCAGCTCGAAACTGAACCGTGACACGTCAGCTCGCGCGTCGGAATCAGGTGCAGCATCCGCCCGGGAACGCGCGGGAACTTCCGCGGTTCGTCCGGGGGATGCGCCAGCAGAGGAACCGCCGCGCGGGTTTTCCGCCCGTCCGCGCACGGCGCCAAGCGGAATCTTCAGCCGTTGGCGCTCCGCCGCGCCGCTTTCCCGCCCGAAATCTCCGCTGTTCGGCCTGACGTACATGGGAGCATCCGCGCGACGGGGAGTGAACGGCGCCGCGTTGCCCAAAGGGAACGAGCTGTGCGAATCAGTCGATACAGCGGCGTCGGTGGACACGAATAACGGCGCAGTTTATAGCGGAGACAGGCTCCGCTCGATATTTGCACAAGGGACGAGCTTTTCTGCGGCGAGTGAGCGACCGTGGAGCAGCGGAGGGTGGGGCGTGGCGGACGGGGCGGGGGACAGCGTTTCGGAGCGGGGGGACGCGGAGAGGGAGGACATAGAGCGGCGCGTTTCGTACAGTAGCAGCATTGCGGGCGCGGCTGGTAGTGTAGTTAGCAGCAGCACGGCGGCTTATACTGAAACTGCTTATAGCGAGTCGCTGATCATCCAGCACACGGATCGCGACACGGACTGTGAGAGCGTGACGTCAGCGTCTAGCGGCAGCGGGTACGACGCGCTTGCGTGGGCGGGAAGCGCGCCGATGGGCGGAGTCATTGCGCCAACGGGCGGAGAAAACGCGCCACTGGGCGGAGAAAACGCGACGACGGAAGGCGAAAGCGCGCTGATGGGGGGGAGAAGTGCGCGGCTGGGGGAAACTCTTGCGGATGGGGGCGGCGGAGACTTCGCGACCCTCTGGCGGAGCCTCCCCCGCGATCTGCGGCGCACGCGGTCGCTGCAGAGCCCGCGGGAGAACGCAGGGGGATATCCCGGGGGGAACGCGGAGGGAGGGTTTGCGGGGGAGTCGAGAGGAAATGGTGGAGACGTGAGGAACGGAAGCAGCAGGTACGCGGAGGGCGCGGATCAGGGGAGCTACGTTCAACAAGGCAGCATGCGACGAGTGGGTAGCGCAGAGATGTTACCCGCTGTAGCGCATGAGTCATTTGTACCGGCTGTAACGGGCGCAGCTGGCGCAGGCCCGCTTGCCCCCTCGGCGCACTCCCCCCCGGATCTCCCGCCCCCGTCCCCGCGGTCCGCTGGCGGCGCCGCGTGGGTGGTGAGCGTGCCGTCCTTCGCGCAGCACCGCCTGCGCGTTGCCTCCGCGGAGAGGGCCGCGCGCGGGGGGGGCGAGGGGCGCGGAGCGGGCGAGGGGCGGGGAGGGGAAGTGTGGCGGGGGGAAGACCTTGCGCGGGGAGAGGGGGATGGAAGGATGCCAGACCAGCGCTCGCAGCAGGACCAGCAGCAGCAGCAGGTGCCGAGGGTGCACAGGCGAGCGCGCAGCCTGCATTCAAGTGACATGGAGGCGATGAGGCTGGAGCAGATCGGCGAGTTCAGCATCCCCTCGTTTCAGCAGCAGATGGGAGAGGCCTCTGCGATGCCCCTCGCCCGCCCCTCTCCGTCTGCTGCGCCTCTCCTCTCGCCCTCGCTTCACCCTCGCGGCTGTTTGCTGCGTTCTCCCCGCTCGCCCCGCCTGCCTTCCGTTCCTCCCAGAGCCGCTGCTGGAACCCCGTCAGTGCCGCACCCAACCGTGCCGCTCCCAACCCCACAGCACTCACAGAATCAGCTGCCGCTGCTGCCGCCGAGGGCGCACAGGCGAACGCGCAGTCTTCATGCAGGTGACATGGAGTGGATGAGGCTGGAGCAGATCGATGAGTTCACCATCCCCTCCTTCCACCACCCCTCGCCCTCCACTCTGTGCCACTCCCTCCACTCCCCATCCGCGCCCCTCCTCTCCCCCTCCCCGTCCGCGCCCCTCCTTCCCCCCTCCCCATCCGCGCTCCGTCGCTCCCCCTCGCTGCAATCTCGCCTCCGCTCGCCCCGCTCGCCCCGCCTGCCTCCCCTTTCTCCCAGAGTTGCCTCTGGACCCTTGCCTGTGCGGCACCCAACCGCGCCGCACCCAACCGCGCCGCACCCATCAGCATCTTCCCGATCCCTCAGATCACAGAGCCTCAGCTCGCCTTCCCCGTCCTCTTCCTCGTCCATTCGCGTTTCAGCTCCCCCGTTACCGCATCGGCCGCCCGTTTGTTCCCCGTCTGGCATAAGACCAGGGAGGAGCACTCGCAGCAGCTTTGAGGCAGCAGCTCAGAAACAGCCCGTTTGTTCCCCATCCAGCAACTTGGGGCATAGCAGGAGCTTTGGGAGCTTTGAAGCACCTCAGAAACAGCCCGTTTGTTCCCCATCCAGCAACACGGGACACGGCAGGAGCACTCTCTTTGAAGAGCCAAAAAAACCGGCTGTTTTCTCCCCATCCGGCAACACAGGAGCCGGCAGGAGCTTTCACAATGGCTTTGAGTTGCCGTTGCCCTCGGGAGGGCACTCTCTCATCGCACACGCAGCAACAGCCTGTGAGGGCCGAGAAAGTCTGGCAGTAGGGGGGACAAGGTGTATTTACGGCTGTTGGGATGACAGAAAAAGTAGCAGCCTGTGGTACCGAAGTTGATTCTGCAGGAGAAAAAAGGGGTAGATTCGGAGGTACCCCTGTGGAGGCGTCTCCTAAGTCGAGTACACCCAGGCGGCCGTTTCGACGGTGCAGATCGCTCGGTGCAGGGATCAGGGAATTCAGGGGTGGAGGAAGCGAGCGTGATTATAGCGAAGCTTCTGCTTACAGTCACGGCCAGGTTGATAGCAAACAGTGTCACAGCAGCAAGGATAATCGTGGTGGTACCTCCGTTCCCCGTGACTGCTTTCCAGTGGCAGCACCGCTGCCATCGTTGCCCCTGAATGCGGCTGCTCCTTTCCCACAGGCAGTTTCCGAACCTACAGCTGCAGCTACTGTTTCTGAGGCGCCTTGCGGTTTCCCACAAGCGGTTACCGCTCCTCCAGTTGTGGTATCAACACCTGAAGGGGATGTATCGGTTGCTCCATTACGACCGGTTGTAGCTTGGGGATCGCGGGAGTCTGTAGCGGCAGCGGAACGTGTGGCGCCACGCGATTGGGTGGAGGATTCGTATTGCTTCCTGAAGGATGAGGATGGGGTTGTTGTCCCCTCTGGCGATGAGTGGAGCGACTATCATGGGTGTGACTGTGAGGATGGCTGCACGGGGGGTGGCTGTAACAGGAGTGACTGTAGTGCGAGTGACTCGAAGGCTGTAGTAACACAGCATGAGCAAGGCAATTACTTACAGTGGCAGCAGCAGCATGTCCCATCTTACGGAAACCAATTGTGCTGATGTTACAAGGAGAGTCTCAAGGCGAATCAGACAGCAGGTAGGGCAGCATGGGCAAGGCAGTTACTTGCAGTGGCGGCAGCAGCATGTCCCATCTTACGGAAACCAATTGTGCTGATGTTGTGTGGACAGAATCAGAGAGGAATCAGGGGAGCACCTATGGTCCAATAAAGAAACAATGTTTGATTGTAAAAGTCAATCCTATGGTAGATATGAGGAACACTGTTGGCCCACCTTGGTTTGGTAAAACGATTAACCTTAGACACTCAGGTGTTGCTAGATTGTTGAGTTGTTCCTGTGAGGATATTTTGCTTTGCATTGTTCCTGTGAGGATATTTTGCTGTATAATGTGAACACTGATGGCCATGCTTCACTGATGTAGTATTGATTGTAGCTAGACTCTAATGAACGTCTTCCAGTGTAACACATGAAGGGCAATTTACCCTAATTTCATGTCCTTCCCCTCCTGCGATTCCTTGGGAATGCTGTTTCAAGCATCCTGAGATTCAGCAACGCGACGCGCTGGATGCATCGCCTCTGGATGCAGTAGCGCTGGATCCCAACCCAAACCGACAACATGAATGCAGCCCAACCTTCATATTTACATGGCTGTTGATAGGCTCAGCAGAAATCAGAGATGCTCGGCGACATCTAGGTTTTCCTGCCGCGCTTCGCTCGGCAATCCGTCAGTTTCTCATTAGGTAGGATTCAACCGTCATGACCCCATTGCTGAACCTGGTTTCGCCTTCTATCTCCGGCAATTCTTCTCGTTTCTCCGTCCATCCGTCACGGATTCTGGCCAAATCCGTTACTATCCCGTCTGTACCGCATCCACGCTTGACGAATTCTCTCCACGTTCAGCCGCGCATCCAGCGAGAACGAAGCGATTCAAACCGCGAGCTTACACGCTGCGCGCCGAGCGTCAAGCTTCCTCAGCCGCCTGCTGCACGTCGTTGTTGTGTGAAATGCCGCGCGAACCCACAGCAAAGCGGTTCTCAGACAAAGAGAAAGGAAGTTAGGACCGAGCGATCGAGCCCGCCGGTCCCAGGTCCTGCTACCGGCAAGCCCAAGGGTTTCGGCGGACCCTCTCTCCGTGCTCGACGCCGCTCGGACAAGCAGGAATCTGGGACAAGCAACTCGGGTTGTGACCCAGGAGACCCGGGTTCGAATCCAGCCGCTGAGCTATTTCTTTCGCAAAACTCGTCGCAAGGGGTCGGGGGAGTAGAGCCAGTAACCTCGGAGGATTTTTCAGGCTTAGAGTCGGTTTCAGGGGAGCCGTTTCCGTGCTTAGGGCCTGCGGTAGCGCCTGAACCGCAAGGAGGCAGCCCCTCAGCAGTTACCACAGTCAGCAATGGCGTTGCGAATAGCAACAATCTCGAAAGTCGCAGCATTCGCGAGAGGCGCAGCGGTCGCAGTGCCAGCCACGGAACGCACGGCAACATCGAGGCTTGCTCGGGAGTAACCATGCATCAGACGAGGCGTCAGGATGTGGGTTCACTCCCCAATAAGGGTCAAGGGTTGAGCGCAGCTTCCGGCTTCCGTGCTTCGACTTCCGCCACCCGCGCTTCGACTTCCGCCACCCGCCACGATTCAATCTTCGCCACCCGCGCTTCGACTTCCGCCACCCGCCACGATTCAATCTTCGCCACCCGCGCTTCAACTTCCGTTACTCCCGCTTCACCTTCTGCCGCCAGCGCACCCGGGGACATTGGCTTCCGCCCCTCTCGCACTGGGCTGGGTGGCCGCAAGCGCATGTCTCGAACAGTGACCAATCGGGTGGCGAGAGCCGTGCACGCGCTGCTATTGGCTGCTAGATCTGACAACCGATCTGATGGCAGGCGGGGAAACGCGCTGCTGGGCGAACTTCGCAGGCTGAAGAAGCTTCCTGCGGGTTTCCTGCGATCTGTTGCTGAGGAGCTGTGGCGCCTGCGGGAATTCAAACTGGCAGCGGATGTGAGTCTAACGAGAGAATGACTCTTTTTTTTTTTTTTTTTTGGAGGGGGTGGGTGGGGGAGGGGAGGAGGGGGAGGTGGCTTTTATTTTCCTTGTGGAGAGTTAAGGATTGAAAGGTTCTTTGTTGATAGCAGAAGAGCTTCTATCTGAAACGTGTGTTTCTTGCTGTTGCCGAAGATGTGTGGCATGTGCAAGAAGCTTAAATGCCAGCCAGCAGGCGTAAACACTGCTGTTCAGGAACTGCAGCGTGTTCACTCAGGGTGTGTAATTAGCTCTTTCTGAGACGTACCAAAAGCCACCAGCCAGCCAGCAGATGTAAACACCGCTGTACAGAAGCTGCAGCGTGTTCAGAGTGTGTGATTTTCTCGCATCAATGGTACGTAACAGTCCTTGATGAATTGGGTAGTTACACTTGTATGGAATAAGGTATGTGCACCCTAACCCGTCCCTTGTCCTGCTGTGGCCCCACGTCCTTGAGCCAGTCACATTGCTGTGAATTTCCTCCTTGTCGCTCCCCCTTCTCTACCCTTTCTCCCCACTCTCTTTTCCCTCTCTTTTTCCCAGGTCCTTGAATCAGTCCCACCAGCCATTTTCTCTGATAACAGGCGATCAGATGCATCAGATTCATCAGATTCTTCAGACAATTCAGATTCTGAGGATTCTGAAGAGTCTGAGGATTCTAAGAAGTCTGATTTTCCTGCTCGCGGTGGCAGCAGCCCTGAGCGCGAGATGACAGGTCAGCAGCGGACATGTGGCAGCCAGAGGTGGACAGGTGGCACACTGCGGTTGCACGCCCGTGTGGCAGCGGGGCTGGTGGCAGCGAATCAGGTGGAGAGGGGAGTGCAGCTGATTGGCCAGATGCCGCGAGTGCATACACAGGTCACTGATTCAAACACAGAGCAGCATGGGGCATATGACCATGCACTCGGCATGGGGGTGTATTTGCAGGCTACTGATTCAGGCACCAAGGACATCAGAAGCACAGCACTCACAGCAGAAGTTCCAGCAGGGCAGTCTGTTGCGCCTGGCTGCGTCACACAGCCACTGGCCTGTGGGAAGGCTGTATCTCTCCCCATACTGGGCAGACTTCCCGTGCCCCTGTCGCCCGCACCTCCACTCTGGAACGCTCTCGTGTCACAGCAGTTCACTCCTTCAAACCAGCTGACAGCAGCAGAAAGACAGGCCGCACCAGAGCAACAGACAGCAGCAGGGGAACCAGCTGCCGTAGCAGAGCAACGCCTCTCACCCACCAGTCTCTCTCATTCCTCTCATCTTTCCCACACTATCACCGCTCCCGCTCGCCCTCTCTCCTATGCCTCGGGCTGTGCTCTGATAGTGGCGTTTGGAGAGGTGGGGGTGGTGGACGGGGCGGTTGCGATGCTGCTGTGCATGGCCTGGGGGTGGGATGAACCTACCTTAGGTTGTGAAAGCAGGATCCCAAACCGGGCTTTAAGGAGGGAGGCACATGTGGTGTTGCTGCTTGCAGCCGCCCTCGCCCGCTGCAGTCGCCCTGACGACGCCCTCGCGCTGCTGCGCTTCGTGCTCCAATCGGGAGCTGCCACGTGGCAGGGTGGAAGGGGCCAGGTAGCAGTGGCTGCGAGGGAGGCTGGGGAGGCGGTGATGGTGGCTTTGGCGAGGGAGAGACGATGGGGGGAGATGGAGGAGGTTGGTGCGGAGGTGGAGGAGTGGGTGGGGGAGATGAGCAGTCTGAGAAGACCAACTGCACCAGCAGCGCCAGCAGTAGCACAAGCAGCAGCGCCAACCCCAGCCGCAGTAGAAGCAGCAGAAGCAGGAGCAGGAGCATCACAAGCGGCAGCAGCAGCATTATCAGTAGCAGCTGGAGGAGGGGGGGGAAGAGGTGCGGGTGAGTGGAGGAGAAGGGAGCTGCTTCTGCGAGCTTCGTGGGAGAGAGGGCACTGGCAGCAGGTCGCTTCCATGCTCCATCACATGGCTGCTGACGTGTCACCTTCTGCTGACGTGGCACGCAGCAATGGATCGATGGCACCAGAGCCAGCTGTGCAATCCCCGCCACCAGCGACCACTGTGAACCTGGCAGTGCGCCTCCTGGGTGCCGCTGTCGTCCCAATGCTGCCTCCAGCTGTCGTCCCACCGCTGCTGCCAGCTGTCGCCCCACGGTTGGCTGAGGTCCCGCAGGTGGCACCACGGGCGGCAGCCTGGGCGGCAGCGCCGGCGGCACCACATCTGGCAGCAAGCTTTTCAAGTGCAGAAGCTGAAGTTGGGTGCTTTGCAGGGTTCAGAATCGTCCTCAACCTTCCCCAAACACGTTCCGAACCACCGCCAGACCTATCCCAGCAGCAGCAGCAGCATCAGCAGTTACAAACACTCTGTGGTGATGATAGCCGAGCACTGGTCCGTGCTTTCACTGCCCTGCTCCGACGCTATGTGGCTGCGGTTACCAGCAGCAGCAGCAGCAGCAGCAGCAGCAGCAGCAGCAGCAGCTGGGGTTCTTGTGGTAATGGGGATAGCTGCGTCGCTGCAGTTACCAGCAGAAGTGGTGTGCGTGGTAGTAGCAGGAATGGTGTGGGTGCAACTGACAGTGTTGAATTGCAGCTTGATCTGCATGGGTTGCACGCTGAAGCCGCTGCTGTGGTGCTGCTGGCCTGGCTGATCATGAGGCAGTGGGAGGGAACTGTGCATGAGACAGTGGGAGGGGATAGCAGCCGTGGTTTGGAGGCAGCAGGGAGTGTCATCGGCTCGAGGAGGTTAGATTCAGTTTGGGGGGGTGCACAAGATGCGGGAAATGGGGGGTGGAGACTGGAATGGAATCAAGGATACGATACTATTAGCGTGCGGAATTTGTCAGGCAGAGTTTCCATTGTGACTGGATGGGGGAAGCATAGTCGGAAGCAAGGGGATTCGGCTGTAAGGAGTCGGGTGGAGCAGTTGTTGGTTGGCATGAATTCTCCGTTTAGGGTCGACAGAGAAAATAAAGGTCAGCTTGTTGCAAGATTCAGTTCATTCACAAATTGGATTAATGATTCTGTTTTGTTGCCATGTACCTGTAAGTCTGAGAAATAGATTCCAGTTCACATCCAGTCTTCCATTGCAGCTGCAAGTGAATAACGGTTCTTCCAATACGCAATACTGTCCACTTGCATCGCGGGACAGCGTATTGACACGTCATTTTGAGGAGATTCAGCGTGGCAACGGGTGGAAAGTGGACCTGGCCGTTGGTCCGTGTGCGACAATGCTGCAAGGGAAGTGCGGTTTGTCGAGATGTTCCGATTTTTATGGTGCCTCTCAATCATGATCGTTGCGGTTGGCTCGCTAATCAGCACAGTGGAACAAGGTCTCTTGCAGGGATTTCACAGATTGTCATTTCCTCTTACAGTCGGTGCTTAGGGATTGTCTGGACTTTCCGCCTCAATAAGCTAACCCTTAAAGCCGCGGTGCAACTATCTTAGGAACAGTGACGCGACAGAAAGCGCACTGTTCCTAAGCTGCTTTTGATTGGGTCGCGATATGTTTTTGAGCAAACCTGTTAACGAAAAAAACGAAAAAACGGGGGGAATTTCGCACAGATGCGGGGTGTATACTGGGGGGGACCGGGCAACGGGAAACAGCGCACCAGCCTTTGCGACCACCATCCGTCCCTAGGAAGGGGGATAAAGCATACAAAATTAAAATAAGGGCAGGGGGGCGAAGGGGAGAAAGACAGGGGGAAAGGGAGGTGAGAATAAGGCAAATGAAGGGAGAGAAGAACAGGGGGAAAGGGGGAGAAGGACAGGGGGAAAGGGAGATTAAGACATGGGGGAAAGTGAGTGAAGGATGGGAGAGGGGGAGCTGAGAATCGGAGGAAAGGGAGAGAAGGACTGGGGGAAAGGATGCTGAGAGGAAGGCAAGTTAAGGGAGAGAAGGGTGGGGGGAAGGGGTATAAGGGCTTCCACAAACACCTCCTAAAGCTGCTTCTCATCCATCTCCCGCGGCACGTTGTGCACCGTTTGCCGCGTCAGCGACACAGCGAAGTTGGGGCTCTCGTAGCTTCATCAGCTTCTCACTTTGCAGCCTGGATGGGACGGGGTGGGGGAGAGGGTGGTGGGTGGGGGAGGCTGGGGGTTTGGTGGATAGGACATCAGCATGACCCTCTAAAGTGATAGCATCAACAACACTGCCAAGTTGGACAGGGATGCAATGAGATAACATGATAGCGATGAGCAGGCAGGGGCTTGGGTACCGCTCAGCTTTAGTAAGGGGGAGAGGGGGAGAAGGACAGGGGGAAAGGAGGAGAAGGACAGGGGGAGAGGGGGAGAAGGACAGGGGGAAAGGAGGAGAAGGACAGGGGGAGAGGGGGAGAAGGACAGGGTACAAGGAGAAGGACAGGGGGTGAGGGGGAGAAGGACAGGGGGAAAGGAGGAGAAGGACAGGGGGAGAGGGGGAGAACGACAGGGGGAAAGGAGGAGACGGACAAGGGGAGAGGGGGAGAAGGACAGGGGGAAAGGAGGAGAAGGACAGGGGGAGAGGGGGAGAAGGACAGGGGGAAAGGAGGAGAAGGACAGGGGGAGAGGGGGAGAAGGACAGGGTACAAGGAGAAGGACAGGGGGTGAGGGGGAGAAGGACAGGGGGAAAGGAGGAGAAGGACAGGGGGAGAGGGGGAGAACGACAGGGGGAAAGGAGGAGACGGACAAGGGGAGAGGGGGAGAAGGACAGGGGGAAAGGAGGAGAAGGACAGGGGGAGAGGGGGAGAAGGACAGGGGGAAAGGAGGAGAAGGACAGGGGGAGAGGGGGAGAAGGACAGGGTACAAGGAGAAGGACAGGGGGTGAGGGGGAGAAGGACAGGGGGAAAGGAGGAGAAGGACAGGGGGAGAGGGGGAGAACGACAGGGGGAAAGGAGGAGACGGACAAGGGGAGAGGGGGAGAAGGACAGGGGGAAAGGAGGAGAAGGACAGGGGGAGAGGGGGAGAAGGACAGGGGGAAAGGAGGAGAAGGACAGGGGGAGAGGGGGAGAAGGACAGGGTACAAGGAGAAGGACAGGGGGTGAGGGGGAGAAGGACAGGGGGAAAGGAGGAGAAGGACAGGGGGAGAGGGGGAGAACGACAGGGGGAAAGGAGGAGACGGACAAGGGGAGAGGGGGAGAAGGACAGGGGGAAAGGAGGAGAAGGACAGGGGGAGAGGGGGAGAAGGACAGGGGGAAAGGAGGAGAAGGACAGGGGGAGAGGGGGAGAAGGACAGGGTACAAGGAGAAGGACAGGGGGTGAGGGGGAGAAGGACAGGGGGAAAGGAGGAGAAGGACAGGGGGAGAGGGGGAGAACGACAGGGGGAAAGGAGGAGACGGACAAGGGGAGAGGGGGAGAAGGACAGGGGGAAAGGAGGAGAAGGATAGGGGGAGAGGGGGAGAAGGACAGGGGGAAAGGAGGAGAAGGACAGGGGGAAAGGAGGAGAAGGACAGGGGGAAAGGGAGGAGAAGGACAGGGGGAGAGGGGGAGAAGGACATGGGGAAAGGGGGAGAAGGTCTGGGTGAAAGGTGGTGAAGGACAGGGGGAAAGGAGGAGAAGGACAGGGGGAGAGGGGGAGAAGGACAGGGGGAAAGGAGGAGAAGGACAGGGGGAGAGGGGGAGAAGGACAGGGTACAAGGAGAAGGACAGGGGGTGAGGGGGAGAAGGACAGGGGGAAAGGAGGAGAAGGACAGGGGGAGAGGGGGAGAAGGACAGGGGGAAAGGAGGAGACGGACAAGGGGAGAGGGGGAGAAGGACAGGGGGAAAGGAGGAGAAGGATAGGGGGAGAGGGGGAGAAGGACAGGGGGAAAGGAGGAGAAGGACAGGGGGAAAGGAGGAGAAGGACAGGGGGAAAGGGAGGAGAAGGACAGGGGGAGAGGGGGAGAAGGACATGGGGAAAGGGGGAGAAGGTCTGGGTGAAAGGTGGTGAAGGACAGGGGGAAAGGAGGAGAAGGACAGGGGGAGAGGGGGAGAAGGACATGGGGAAAGGGGGACACAGACAGGGGGAAATGGGGGGAAAGACATGGGAGAAAGTGCGGGAAGGACAGGGGGCGAGGGAGATGAGAAGAACTGGAGGGAAGGGAGAGAAGGACAGGGGGAGAGGGGGAGAAGGACAGGGGGAAGGAGGACAGGGGGGAAGGGAGCTGAGAAGAACAGGAGGAGAGGGAGGGAAGGACAGGGGGAAAGGGGGAGAAGGACAGGGGGAAAGGGAGGAGAAGGACAGGGGGAGAGGGGGAGAAGGACATGGGGAAAGGGGGAGAAGGACAGGGGGAAAGGAGGAGAAGGACAGGGGGAGAGGGGGAGAAGGACAGGGGGAGAAAGGAAAAGGACAGGGGGAAAGGAGGAGAAGGACAGGGGGAGAGGGGGAGAAGGACAGGGGGAAAGGAGGAGAAGGACAGGGGGAGAGGGGGAGAAGGACAGGGGGAAAGGAGGAGAAGGACAGGGGGAGAGGGGGAGAACGACAGGGGGAAAGGAGGAGACGGACAAGGGGAGAGGGGGAGAAGGACAGGGGGAAAGGAGGAGAAGGACAGGGGGAGAGGGAGATGAGAAGAACTGGAGGGAAGGGAGAGAAGGACAGGGGGAGAGGGGGAGAAGGACAGGGGGAAGGAGGACAGGGGGGAAGGGAGCTGAGAAGAACAGGAGGAAAGGGAGGGAAGGACAGGGGGAAAGGGGGAGAAGGACAGGGGGAAAGGGAGGAGAAGGACATGGGGAAAGGGGGAGAAGGACAGGGGGAAAGGAGGAGAAGGACAGGGGGAGAGGGGGAGAAGGACAGGGGGAGAAAGGAAAAGGACAGGGGGAAAGGAGGAGAAGGACAGGGGGAGAGGGGGAGAAGGACAGGGGGAAAGGAGGAGAAGGACAGGGGGAGAGGGGGAGAACGACAGGGGGAAAGGAGGAGACGGACAAGGGGAGAGGGGGAGAAGGACAGGGGGAAAGGAGGAGAAGGACAGGGGGAGAGGGAGATGAGAAGAACTGGAGGGAAGGGAGAGAAGGACAGGGGGAGAGGGGGAGAAGGACAGGGGGAAGGAGGACAGGGGGGAAGGGAGCTGAGAAGAACAGGAGGAGAGGGAGGGAAGGACAGGGGGAAAGGGGGAGAAGGACAGGGGGAAAGGGAGGAGAAGGACAGGGGGAGAGGGGGAGAAGGACATGGGGAAAGGGGGAGAAGGACAGGGTGAAAGGAGAAGGACAGGGGGAAAGGAGGAGAAGGACAGGGGGAGAGGGGGAGAAGGACAGGGGGAGAGGGGGAGAAGGACAGGGGGAAAGGAGGAGAAGGACAGGGGGAGAGGGGGAGAAGGACAGGGTACAAGGAGAAGGACAGGGGGTGAGGGGGAGAAGGACAGGGGGAAAGGAGGAGAAGGACAGGGGGAGAGGGGGAGAACGACAGGGGGAAAGGAGGAGACGGACAAGGGGAGAGGGGGAGAAGGACAGGGGGAAAGGAGGAGAAGGATAGGGGGAAAGGAGGAGAAGGACAGGGGGAAAGGAGGAGAAGGACATGGGGAGGAAGGATATAAGGGCGTCACGGTGAGGTGGAGTACGAAGTCGCTGTCGAAGGTATAAAATGGTGCGCGGAATGAGCGTGCGGGAAAGGGAGGGAATGGCAGGGGGGGAAGGGAGAGCTTGTTAGGGGAGGAAGGGATGTGATGGCGTGGGGGAACGGAGGTGATGGCGGGGAGGGGGGGGGGGGGGAAAGGGAGATGATGCCTTCACGTGTTCGCATGTCTCCACATCCCTCAACACCCTGTCTTCGCATCTAGCCTCCCCATGTCTTCGCATTTCGCCTCCCCCTGTCTCTGCATCTCGCCTCCCCCTGTCTTCCCTGAAGCGCCGCCCCCTGTCTTTGCATCTCGCCTCCTCCTGTCTTTGCATCTCGCCGCCCCCTGTCTTGGCATCTCGCCTCCCCCTGTCTTCGCATCTCGCCTCCCCATGTCTTCGCATCTCGCCTCCCTCTGTCTTTGCATCTCGCCGCCCCCTGTCTTGGCATCTCGCCTCCCCCTGTCTTCGCATCTCGCCTCCCTCTGTCTTTGCATCTCGCCTCCCCCTGTCTTCGCATCGCGCCGCCCCCTGTCTTTGCGTCTCGAGTCCCCCTGTCTTCGCATCGCGCCTCCCACTGTCCTTGCATCTCGCCTCCCCCTGTCTTCGCATCTCGCCTCCCCCTGTCTTCGCATCATGCCTCCCCCTGTCGTTGCATCGCGCCTCCCCCCGCGGATGCATCTCGCCTTGTTTCGTAGCCTCTCGGCCAGCACCTTGCCGCTGCTCCCATTTCATTCTCCCTGCCTCTCTCTTTCTCTGAGGGAGTTTGAGGGGGAAGGGGGGAGGGGAGCAGGGCGAAAGGGTGCACAGCACCGTGGTTTATGAGAGGGGTGTTGGGAATAGTGCTGCTAGATACCGTCGCCTTGCTGCTCGCTACCGTCGTCCCGCTGCTCGATTCCATCGTCTCGATGCGTGCTACCGTCGTCCCGATGCTCTGTTCCGTCGCAATGGTGCTCGCTACAGTCGCACAGCTGCTCGGTTCGTCGCCCGGCATGTCGCCATCGTCGCCCCGCTGCTCGCGGTCGTCGTTTCGCGAAAATCGTATCGTCGCTCCGCTGCTCGCCACCGACGCACCCATTCCTGCCTGTCGCTACCGCTCTTCCAGCCCTAAACCGCAGATACATGAGGAATGGAGGAACGGGAGAGGAATAAGGACGTAGGCGGAGGAATCCGAGGACATTGCGATCCGCGTATACCCGAAAGGCGACTACGAGGTACAAAAATGCGCAGATATTCGTGCGCCCATTCTGAAACTATGGAGCGCGAGAAATCGTCGCCTGCGGGCTCTGCGTAGCTGGGAGAACTTACTTCAAGTTAGTCAGACGCTAGTTCAAGCGTGGGAGTTTGCAGAGTTCGAGTTGTTTTGAGTTCAAGTTTGATTTTTCAAGTTTGCCAGCTGCGCTCTTCCCTATGTCGTTGTGCGGAGGTTTTCCCAGAGCCCTCCCCCGCTTTCCCCCCACACATCATACTGCGAAGCACTTTTCCGCACACCCGTCCCCCGCAGGCAGAAACCTCTGCCTCATCACTTTCCTGTGTATACTGGGTTACGCGGCTTTCAAACTATAATACTTTGAACTGGAGCCCCGATATCTGCACCGCGGCTTTAAATGCGGTGGGATGGTTGCTAGACTAGCATCTGATGGTCGGGGCAGAATTCGAGAAACAAGGTGTACAAGAACGCGGATTGCACGTGGATGATTCGATCCGACAAACCTGTTCACGCTCAGAATCCCTTCTGGTTCCCCGCCCCGACAGTCATGACCTTCAGAAAACCCTCCTCCTTTGCTGGAAGCAGAATTCCAATCGAAGCAGTCTGTTTTGGATTTCGTCGACATCGGACCGTCCGTTGCTAACTGCTTGCAAACTCGTGCTGAAATCTCCCCTGGCGCTGCGGACATTTTTTCTGCCGCACCCTTCTTCGCCTCCCCTCATCCCCTCCTTCTCTTCACCAAGGAAGGAGGGCCTCACTCGTTCCCCATCCCACACTTTCCCCCCCTTCTTATGCTCGCGCGCGCGGAGCAGCCATTCAGTTTTTTCGCCCAGGTTTCTCCGCACCGCACGCACCATCCGCCCACCTTTTCTCCTCCCTTCGAGTGCTCCCCGCAATATCTCCCCCTTCGTCCTCCCCACCCCAGCAACCGTGCAATCCCCAAGGCGGGGCAGAACGGCGCAAATTTCGAGGCAATTCAAACAAAGCTGGACAAATCTCAAGGCAAGGCAGAACCAAGGTGATCGATAGCTACTTCCACACGTATCGGTTGTGGCTGCTGCTGGTCAAAATCGCACGGAGGAGCAGACAGATTGATCGTTCCCCTCCTCTTCAATCTCGCAGTGTCATTCAGTGGCCTGAGAGCTCTTCCCAAGGCTGCTCTTGCATCTTTCCGAACCATCCTCATTTGCTTTGTGAATTGTTTATTTACCTTGCTGTCCCACCTACACCTGCTGGTGTCATCGGCGGTGTGCTCGACTTCCGCTAGTGGTGTGCCTTAATGAATTAAATATGTGAAAGTCTAGCGGACTCAGGTGCGGAATACGGTTGTCGATTATTCTATACTTCGTTTCGATATTGTCGTGAGTCGGGATGCCGTCCAGCGGCGGTCCGTGCCTTGTCGACGGCTTCTCCGCGCCCTTCACGCCGCGTGAAGTTCCCGATCGATCCGCGAATCGCTCCCCGTTTCACTTCGTCCCGACTCCCTCTCCCCAACCCAGCCCACTGTCGGTAGAGCACAAGCCGAACCGCTCGACATTGTCGCCTGAAACGAGGGGAGCAAGGACGCTGCGGACGACCGACGCCGTGAGAGGGACCGCGCAAGAAAGCGCACGCGGAGCCGCCATGCAATCCGGCGTATGCGCGGAAAACGGTTTCCGCGCTGCCGCAGCGGGAGGAGATCTCGCGACGGCGTCCGCGGCAGCGGCGGGGACAATGGCCATGGCGGAGACGTGCTCGCAGAGTATCCGCGCGAGTTCAGCGCCGCATGCGGAGTTGCTGCATCTGCCGCTGCTTTCGCAGTCGTGGTCCCCGGAGGAAGATCGCGAGCTAGAGCGAGCATTGGCGAGGTTCGCAAAATTTGTCAAAGTGGCACTTTTCTGCCCACCAGACTCCTCCTCCTTCTTTGTCGCGAAAAGGAGACGTATGATATCCCAACGCTCCGTTTTGCATCCTTTCCAGCCTCTCACTCAGCGCGCTTCCACATTCCCCCTTTCCCCGTAATCTGCTCAGCCCCTCCCTCAAGTTCCCCATTCCCCCTTAGCCAGTGGCCAGTATGATTTACTCACCCTCTCGCCCCGTTCCCTCTCTGCCTTCCTTTCAATCCACTCACCGACCCAACCAGGCATGCAAAAAGGAGACATTTGATATTCTAACACTGCATATCCTTTCCAGCATCTCACGCAGGCCGTTTCCCCCGTTCAACCTTTTCATGTAACTCGCTGAGCCCTCCTCAAGAGCCCCATTCCCCCGTGGCCGTTGTAATTCTCTCACCCTCTCGCCGCCTTTCCTCTCTGCCTTCCTTTCGATCCACTCTCCGACCCAACCAGGCATGCGGGTAGCAAGTTGTCTCCGTTACAGAGGTACCTGCTAGTGGCCGCGTGTCTGCCGAGCAAGACGGCTAGAGACGTGGCGATTCGCTGCAGATGGCGCGACAAGGTATAACCCCAAGATCCGCAATTACGTTTGACTCGTACGAAACACCAAAACGTTACTACAAACTCCATTCGGTCAAGACACAAACGCCTTTGAAACCGCTAAAACGCGTCGCAGAGGCTATTTGTGCGGCGAAAACTACACAAAACCCTTCGGAAAAGGCACAGCCGCCGGCATCGGATTTGTCGTTATTGGCGACGCGTTCTCACGGTTCTATCGAGTCGACAAATCTGTTGGCTTAGAAACTGACGGATGGAGATTAAACTCCCGTGACATTGTGCTTGTAGTTCTGTCGTAGTCATTTTCAAAAGACGGGTTGCATGAGCAAATCCTCCTCCCTCGTTTCCCTTCCCGCTCGCGCGAAATGCTCGTTTCCCGACTCTCGTCTCGCACATCTCCGACCGCCCCCTCCGAGCGCCCCCTCCCCAGGCTCCAGAGCTGCACAAGCGGAAGCTCGGACGCCCTTTACTCTCCCCCTCACCTCTCCCCCCTTCCGCTCTTCCCCCTCCGCCTGCCCCCTCCGCTCCCCCCTCCGCAGGCTCCAGAGCTGCACAAGCGGAAACTCGGAAGCCCGCAGGCCGCTTCCCCGCGGAAGAAGGCATCGCGCAGCACAGACACGCGCGGAGCAGCAGCAGCGGACGCAGCGCATAACGAGGCAGTCAATGAGGAGGACAGGCTGCTGGCGCAGGGCCTGGGCGAGTCGCCGCCAGTGAAAGCAGAGAACGTTTCCGCCGGGATCGAAGGGGAAGGGGGCGCGTGGGGGAATGGGCGCACGTGGGGGGATGGGGGCATGAGGGGGGATGGGGATGGGGATGGGGATGGGGGCGCAAGCGTGAGCGGTGCTCCAGCCAGCGAGTTCTGTGACGCGCTGTCATTGACTTTTGACTGTTTGCTAGCCACTAATACACCTGCTGCTCCTGCTCCAGCAGCCATGGCTCCTGCTGCTCCTAATGCTGCTGCTGCCACTGCTGCTGCCACTGCTGATGGTGCTGCTGCTGCTGCAGCGGATTTGGCTTCTTTAGAGGGCACGGCCCTTGGAACAGACAACAAGAGTGGTGGCGTGAGTGTTGGTGCTGGTTGCGACAAGGATGCTGCTGCTGCTGCTGGTGCTGCTGATGATGCCAATGCCGCGGATATCATATTCATGATTCCGCAACTGGAACCACAGCAGGAGGGGGTGCAGCAGCAGGGGGTGCAGCAGGGGGTGCAGGCACATAAAACAAAGCAGAAATCAAAAGCACGTGGATCGCTTCACAATAAAGGGGTTAAAGCCCCATTCCTGTTTGAATCGAAAACATCGCTGGCAGCACGAGGGTCATTTGAATCACCTGGATCGTCCGTGTCACCAACATCAGTGCTCACAGCCATGGCGTCACCACCGGTAGCCACGCGGTCGCCGTCATCCCCTTTATTGTCATCTGCGGTACCGTGGAGTGTGCCGGTGGAGCAGGAGGCGCGGCTGGCGCACAGCACAGTGCTCATTGAGAAGATCAAGGAGGCGCTCCGATTGCAAAAGGTGTGTAATTTGTTTGACCTGTTAAGTGTTTCCTATCTTCTTTTTCCCTGTCTTTTGGCCCTGCCATTCTCTGCCTGTATACCATTCTTTGCCATAGACTAAGTTCGGCCAGGTACCATACTATGGTGTATGTATACCATGCTATGTCATATTCCATGCAATGCCGTACAATGCAATAACATGCTGTGGCACACAACAGCAGCATCTGAACAAGAATGATCCACGCTTGTGTGTTGTTGCTTGCATGTGCAGTTACAAGACTCCAGCCACATGTTGCAGCAACTGAAGCGCAACCTTGTATTGTCCGTCGACAGGTGAGCATGCGGAATTGGACACAAATGTTCAGTTAATGTTGTTTTGACTGTTTGCCTCTAGCTTTCGTAAAAATGGAGTCATGCGTCATAAGTCTTGTCGATCTTCCAACCTGACCCGATACCCCTTCCTGTTCTGTTCCTATTTGCAGCTTGCCGTCCTTTCCAGGAATAAGCACCAAAATGCCGCCTCTCCCGCTTCGACCAAACGTTCAGCTTGCAACCCAGATCCTCTCAATACGCTTATCAACGTCTTAGCCAACGTCTTGGGGCAAAAGTCAATTTATAGCTGGAAGAAGCAGCAGGAGCAGCAACGGAGTACCGTGAAATATATATCTAATGTATTCATGCAAAATAAGTGCAGAGCAGCATAATGCTGTTTTGCCTCCAGTTTAGACGAACTCGTTCAAGGCGGCTTCCTCACATCCAGTCACTGTCTGCGAAAATCGGGAGAATGCTACAGGGCATCCGAGTGTGACGTGTCAAACCTTGAATGTTACAAATCCGGATAGCGAGTCTGACGTGGAATTATCCAGGTGGACTTGGGAGTGGGTGCGTGGCTCGAGTCTCTGGGTCGCGTCGCGGGTCAGGAACCAGGAAACACTGACCTTTTAGAGAGTTTACATTGGGTGTGCCTTCGGCGAAGAAAGATGGATTGCGTTTGAGTGCGGTCCAGTGAGGGATAACCATTTCGTCCGCACACTGTACCACCGCCTTGCGGTTTCGGAATTTCACTTGCGGATGCAATTGTTGGAAAGAAAGCTTGCAGTTGCAGCAGAAGGAAGTTTTGGAGGCGCGAAAATAATAATGGGAGCAGAGGAGTAGATTCATCCTGCAGGCACTGATCGCAAGCTCTGGACTAAGGTCGTACGAGGGGGCTGCGTGCTTGCAACCTGCTTCTAATCAGGGCTGCCATTCCCCTCGAGCCTCCGCATTGGCCACGAATTGCCCAGTCGCGTCTCGTTGGAATCTCGAGTCGGGACTCGAACTACGCTCTGCGCGAATTCGCGAAGATGACGGCGGCGTGCCGTTCTTCCGCAGAGACTCGCGGTCCGCTGGGGCAGCGGAGAGCGTTACCGCGTGTTGCGGCGCTCGGCGCGCTGTGGCCGCGTGTGTCGCTCCGCGTGTGTGTGTCCGTGTGGGTGTTCGCGTGGGCGTGCGCGTGCGCACTGCTGCTTTTCCCTGCTCTGCGCGCAGCGGCGTGGGAGTGCACGAACATTCCGTCGCAGCCGCACGAGTTCTTTAACAGGTATCGCCGCCGTGCTCCCCCGCACTCCCCCGCGCTCCCCCGTGCTTCCCCGCGCTCCCCCGTGCTTCCCCGTGCTCCCCCGCACTCCCCCGTGCTCCCCCGCACTCACCCGTGCTCACCCGTCCTTCCCCGTATCCCCCGCACTCCGCCGCACTCCCCCGTGCTTTCCCGTGCTCAACCCATGTCCCCCCCTCCCCCTCCCCTTCCTCCAGTCCCTCCGTGCGCGAGCACCTCCGCGTGCTGCGCCACCACGCGGACAGCCGCGCAGCCGCGGACGCTCTAGCGGGGAGAACCTCCCGTCCCTCCGCGGACGCTGCAGACACTGCGGGCACTGCGGACGCGGGGGGAAACGGGGGAAGCGGAAAGCGGCGAGCCATGCTGGAGTGGGTGAGAAGTGGGGGGGGAGGGCGGGTGAGGGTGAGAGGGTGGGCGGGTGGGGGTGAGAGGGTGGGCGGGTGGGGGTCATTGACTTCTCCCCTGGTCCATAGCAGCGTGCGCACCCCCCCCCACCACCGCCCCCCGCCGCCCATTCCCCTTCCCCTTCTCTCACCGTGCATAGCAGTGCCTACACTTCCTCTCGCCCCAGCCCTCCCACTTCCCCCCTTCCCCTTTCCTCGCTTCCCCATTTCCCCCCTCCCCCATCTAGCAGCGCCCACATCCCTCCACACCCCCCCTCCCCCTCCCTCTCCCCATCCCTCCCCTCCCCCTTTCCCTTCCTCCGCTTCTTCCCCCCATGCATAGCAGCGCCCGCACTTCCTCTCCCCGCTGGCCTTTCCCCATCTCCCCGTTCCCCCTTCTTACTCCCCCCCTTTCCCCGTCCACTTTTCCCCGCCCCTTTCCCCCCATGCATAGCAGCGCCCGCACTTCCTCTCCCCGCTGGCCTTTCCCCATCTCCCCCTTCCCCCTTCTTACTCCCCCCCTTTCCCCGTCCACTTTTCCCCGCCCCTTTCCCCCCATGCATAGCAGCGCCCGCACTTCCTCTCCCCGCTGCCGCTGCATGCCGTCCGCCTCTCGCCGGCCACGCGTCAGTTTGCCGCCCAGAGCGCCAACCTCGAGTACCTCCTGACGCTCCACGTTGACCGCCTGCTGTGGTCCTCCTTTCCTCTCATACCCCCCTTCCCCCCTTTCCCCTTCCCCCGTTCCCCCTGTCCCTCCCCCCTTTTCCGCCTCTCCCTTCCCCTTCCCGCACCCCCCTTCCCCCTGTCCCCCCGTTTCCTTTTCCCCCTTCTCCTTCTCCCCCATTGGCAGCACCCGCACTTCCTCTCCCCGCTCCCACTCCACGCCGTCCGCCTGTCACCGTCCACCCGTCAGTTTGCCGCCCAGAGCGCCAACCTCGAGTACCTCCTGACGCTCGATGCCGACCGCCTGCTGTGGTCGTTCCGGCGGACGGCGGGGGAGGAGGAGCCAATAGGGAGGCCGTATGGGGGATGGGAGAACCCCAACAGCGAACTGAGGGGGCACTTCGTGGGTGAGTGATGGAGGGAGTGAGGGAGTGGGGGAGTGAGGGTGTGAGGGAGGAGGTGAGTGAATGGCTAGACACCATTCGTCTGATCTGGTTGTTCCGGCGGACAGCAGGGGAGGAGGAGCCAAAGGGGGAAGGGAAGCCATATGGGGGATGGGAGAACCCCACGAGCGAACTCAGGGGGCACTTCGTGGGTAAGTGCGGGAGAGTGAGGGAGGAGTGGGGAAGTGAGGGAGTGAGGGAGTGGGGAAATGAGGGAGTAAGGGAGTGGGGAAATGAGGGTGAGGGAGGGGGGAGTAAGAGACCTGGCTCTCCCTTGTCGTTTCTCATGAAATCTTAAAGTTTTCTCTTCTCCCTGACCATCCAGGCCTCTACCTGAGTGCATCAGCCCTGGCGTGGGCATCAACAGGAAACGCAACCCTCAAGGCGCGCATGGATGGAGTATGTGATGGGCAAGGCAGGTCAGCTTTTGAGGCGCCTCAAAAGTCGCATGGATGGAGTATGTGATGGGCAAGGCAGGTCAGCTTTTGAGGCGCCTCAAAAGTCGCATGGATGGAGTATGTGGTGGGCAGGGCAGGTCAGCTGCTGCACACGTGTCGTGTCGGCAGAATGCAGGAAGTGACATGAACCGGACTGTATCCCTTTGCCTTCCCGCTCGTCCTTTCGCCCTTCACTCCTCGTTTCACTTCCCTCGTGATCATCCAGGCCACTACCTGAGTGCATCGGCCCTGGCGTGGGCGTCAACGGGCAACACAAACCTTAAAGCCCGCATGGATGGATTACCTGGTAGGCGAGCTGGACACGTGTCAGCGGCTCACAGAGATTGACATAAACCGGACTGCACCCCTTTGACTTCTCTCTTCCCTTCTGCCTTGACCATCCAGGCCACTACCTGAGCGCATCAGCCCTGGCGTGGGCAGCAAGCAACGGGCAACACAACCCTCAAGGCGCGTGTGGACTACCTGGTGGGCGAGCTGGGCACGTGTCTTCAGACCGCATGGCAGACCGCATGGCATGACATGAACCGGACTGTACCGCTTTGTCTTCCCTCTCTCCCTTTCTCCCTTGTCCTCTGCCTTCACTTCTCCTTTAATATCCAGGCCACTACCTGAGTGCATCAGCCCTGGCGTGGGCAGCAACGGGCAGCACAGCCCCCAGGGCGCGCAAGGAGTATGTGGTGGGCGGTTCAGCTCAGCTGCACACATACCAGTCGGCAGATTGCAGGGAGTGACATCAACCGGACTGTACCCTGTTGTCTTCCCTTTTCTCTTGTCCTCTCCCTTCTCTTCTCCCATGACCATCCAGGCCACTACCTGAGTGCGTCGGCCCTGGTGTGGGCGTCAACGGGCAACACAACCCTTAAAGCCCGCATGGAGTATGTGGTGGGAGGGGCAGCTGGTCACATACCAGATACCAGATACATACCAGATACATACCAGTCAGCAAATTGTGGGGAATGAGTGACACTGTTCACCTTCCTCCCTCGTCCTTTCTCCCATGTCTCCTCCTTACATGGTCCAGGGCACTACCTGAGTGCATCAGCCCTGGCGTGGGCGTCCACAGGCAACACAACCTTGAAAGCCCGCATGGAGTATGTGGTGGGCGAGCTGGACACGTGTCAGCAGCGCATTGGCTCGGGGTACCTCTCTGCGTTCCCCGAGGAGTTCTTTGACCGTGTGGAGGCCATCCAGCCCGTGTGGGCCCCTTATTATACTGTTCACAAGGTGGGTAGTTTGGGGGGGTGGAGCGGAAGGGGAGAGGTAGGCGCAGGGTACCTCTCCGCTTAACCCGAGGCCATCAAGCCCGTGTGGGCCCCTTATTACACTGTTCACAAGGTAAGAGGGAGAAGGGGAAGAGGGGAAACCAAAAGGGGGAGGGGAAGGGGAGAGGTGGGCTCGGGGTACCTCTCCGCTTTCCCCGAGGAGTTCTTTGACCGTGTGGAGGCCATCAAGCCCGTGTGGGCGCCCTACTACACCGTGCATAAGGTGAGGGGGAAAGGGGGGGAGGGAAAGGGGTAGGGGTAGGGGAGAGGTGGGCTCGGGGTACCTCTCGGCGTTTCCCGAGGAGTTGTTAGACCGTGTGGAGGCCATCAAGCCCGTGTGGGCGCCCTACTACACCGTGCATAAGGTATTATGAGAAGAGGAGGGGGAAGGGGAGGGGGAAGAAGCGCATTGGCTCGGGGTACCTCTCTGCTTTCCCCGAGGAGTTCTTCGACCGCGTGGAGGCCATCAAGCCCGTGTGGGCACTGTACTAAACTGTTCACAAGGTAAGAGGGAGAAGGGGAAGAGGGGAACAAAAAGGGGGGAAGGGGAGAGGTAGGCTCGGGGTACCTCTCTGCTTTGACCGTGTGGAGGCCATCCAGCCCGTGTGGGCGCCGTACTACACCTTGCATAAGGCTAGACTAGTACCAACCTGGTACTGGTCAGCGACCAGCCTGTCTCACCGACTCACTCCCACCTCCTCTACACTCTCCCCGTCAGATCATGGCTGGTCCGCTTGCCGCTATCACCAAGTGCAAGCGGGTCACTCAAGTGCTCTCTCCCCCAATCCCCTCCTCCTCCCCCCCTTCCCTCCACGCACACCATGGGCGGCCTGTTGGACCAGTACCAGCTGGGCGGCACCAGCTGGGCGGCACCAGATGGGCGGCACCAGATGGGCGGCACCAGATGGGCGGCACCAGATGGGCGGCACCAGCTGGGCGGCACCAGCTGCCAGACCAGTGACTTGCTTTCCCCTCCTCTCACTCCACTGCTCTCTCTCTCCCCAACCTCCTCCTCTCCCACTCTCTCCCTCAGATCATGGCCGGCCTTCTGGACCAGTACCAGCTGGGCGGCAAATACTCTTGTCTCACCGACTCATTCCGCCCTCCTCTCACTCTGCGGCTCTCTCTCCCCAACCTCCTCCTCTGCCCCCATACTTCCCCCACAGATCATGGCCGGTCTGCTAGACCAGTACGAGCTGGGCGGCAACCGGGCGGCGCTGCGCATGCTGACGTGGATGGCGGAGTACTTTCGGGGGCGCGTGCAGCGAGTCATCGAGCGCCACACGGTGGCACGCCATTGGCTGTCGCTCAACGAGGAGTTTGGCGGCATGAACGATTTGCTTTATCGCCTCTATGCAGTCACGGTGAGCGTTGCGTGTGGCTATAAGTGATGGTGATTGTATGATCTCACTGTAAGCGAGTCATTGAGCGCCACTGGGTGTCATTAGTGGCACGCCATTGGCTGTCGCTCAACGAGGAGAGGAGTTTGGCGGCATGAACGATTTGCTTTATCGCCTTTACACAGTCAAGGTGAGGCGGTTGTGACGTGAGCGGTTTGTTTGACTAGCCCTGTTTCCTGGGACCCTTGGCGGTGGGCGCGGACGACCTGCCGGGGCTGCTCGCCAGCTAGTCCCCTTCACCCCTCTCACCACCCCTTTCTCGCCCCTCCTCTTCCCGCCCTTACCACGACCCCCTCCAGAAAAACCCCCACCACCTAGAGCTGGCCCATCTGTTTGACAAGCCGTGCTTCCTGGGTCCACTAGCGGTGGGGGCGGACGACCTGCCAGGGCTGCACGCCAACACGCACATCCCCATTGCCATCGGCGCTCAGATGCGCTACGAGGCCACTGGGGACAGCTTATATCGGGTATGTAAGGGGGGAGGGAGGGGGGGAGGGAGGGAGGGTGGGAGAGAGAAGGGAGGCTGCATGCCAACACGCACATCCTCGTTGCCATCGGCGCTCAGATGCGCTATGAGGCCACTGGGGACCGCTTGTACCGGGTATGGACCTAATGGAGCAGCTCATATCGGGTATGAACATGTGGAAGCAGCTTAAACTGGGTATGAACCTTTTGTAGCAGCGTCGGTATATATGAATCGGATTCAACAGTTCACACTAATTATGGAACAAATTGAGCAGTTAATATCGGGTACAAATCAGTTTAAAACCGGAGTTCGAATTTCGAACTTAGGAAGCTTGGTTGGGGCAAGGGACGTGAGTGGCACGCGAACCGGGTGGTGTCGAGATTTGTGGACGCGGATCGCAGAGCCTGAGTTCCTCGCGTGTGTAACCAGATCTTGAATGCAACGTACGAAATAGCTCGCAAAAGTTTCGGGCGGGCTTCAAATCTTTGTGCGAAATCGTCACTGCTATCGCTCTCGCTAGTACAGTAATTTCGCGTGACGAAATTTGTCCCGACAATTTGCGAAGTGAGTCAATATCTACTGGGTCACACCCAATCAAAGTTAGGAAGGTTGACGCAGTTTAAAACCGGAGTCCCAAACAGCACAAAGATTTGAAGCCCGCCCGAAACTTGTGCGAGCTATTTCGTACGTTGCATTCAAGATCTGGTTACACACGCGAGGTACTCAGGCTCTGCGATCCTCGTCCACAAATCTCGACACCACCCTGGTTCGCGCGCCACTCACGTCCCTTGCCCCAACCAAGCTTCCTAAGTTAAGAACTTTTGGAACTCCGATTTTAACATCACTCTCCGAGTTTTAATATTGGGCTATGCTGTGTATGAAATGGGCGTGTACTGTACAGCACTCTCTGAGTCTCTCTCAAGCGTTCCATGTATTAGATCCGAATTAGTACAGACATGCACGTGAGCATATATAACATGCATTTCAGCACTCTCTGAGTGCGCCCTGCAATATATGTTTATGGGCAAACTTTTGAGTCGACTCAAAAGTCACCTCGTTTTGAGTCGACTCAAAGGTCACCTCGTTATGGGCAACTCATACACAGCACCCTCCTCGTCTCTCTCGCAACTCCCGCCCTGCAATATATGGTTATGGGCAACAGGGAGTACCGGTATCGCAATTGTGACCGGATCCAAATACTTCCTTGCTTCCCCCATCCCTCCCTATATCCCTCTCATATTTCCACCCCACCCTCCCATTCCCCACCTCCCCACCCACCAGCACCTCTCCCACCACTTCCTCGCTCTCGTCAACACCTCGCACTCCTTCACCTCTGGAGGCACCTCCGCCTTTGAGTTCTGGTCAGTTCCATCTGCTGCTGTGGTCTGGTGAGATCAGGTATGGCTTGCTGTGGTCTGGTGAGGTTTGATGCGGTGTAGTGAGTCACATCTGGTGGGGCCTGGTGACCTCTCCCACCACTTCCTCACTCTCGTCAACACCTCTCACTCATTCACCTCTGGAGGAACCTCCGCCTTCGAGTTCTGGTGAGTGCCGTTCGGTGGGGTCTACTGGTTTGCAGTGGTCCGGTGAGATCTTGTGAGATTTGGTGTGGTTTGATGGGGTCCGGTGAGTCACATCTGGCGGGTCTAGGCCCTAGGGAGTTCTCCCACCACTTGTCTATACGAGGTGACTTTTGAGTCGACTCAAAAGTCACCTCTAGGCCCTAGGGAGTTCTCCCACCACTTGTCTATACTCTCGTCAACACCTCCCACTCATTCACCTCTGCCTTCGAGTTCTGGTGAGTGCCATCTGATGGGGTGTGCTGCCATGTGCCGGGGTCTTCTGGTTTTCAGTGGTCCAGTAAGATTTGGTGTGGTTTGGTGGGGTTTGATGAGTTCTCCCACCACTTCCTCACTCTTCCCTCCCACTCCTTCACCTCTGGAGGCACCTCCGCCTTCGAGTTCTGGTGAGTGCCATCTGCTGGGGTGTGCTGGGATGGGTGTGCTGGGGTGGGTGTGCTGGGGTGGGTGTGCTGGGGTGGGTGTGCTGGGGTGGGTGTGCTGGGGTGGGTGTGCTGGGGTGGGTGTGCTGGGGTGGGTGTGCTTTTTGAGGCGCCTAAAAAATCGAGTTCTGGTGAGTGCTGTCTGATGAGGTGTGCTGGGGTGGGTGTGCTGGAATGTGCTGGGGTGTTCGGATGAGTTGTGGTGACTCTGCTGCTACCATTCTCCCGTAATCCCATTATATGACCCCCCTCGAGCGCAGCTTACCGTTATCTCCACCCCTTTTTCCCCTCCCTTCGCTCACCTCCTCCCTTCTCCCCTACCCTTTTTCTTTGTTTTTATTTCTTCGTGGTGGGCACAAGACCTTTGAGCTACAATTCACCCCGCGTGGCTCAATTTTCTTCTTCTTTCGTTCTTTCTTTCTTTCTTTCTTTCTTTCCGTCGTGCCTTCACGGGCAGGCAAGAGCCGCATCGGAGTGGGCACATACTGGCACAGGAGGACCAGGAATCGTGCACCACGTACAACATGCTCAAGGCAAGTTTACGCAGGTCAACGCAGGTCAACGCAGGTCAACGCAGGTCAACGCAATGCCTTCCGCTGGACTCGCTCAGTGCGCTTCATGTTACTATGACTTGCTCAGTGAGCAAGCCATCAAGTAGCCCAGCCCTACGTGCCATGCACACTGCCTGCAAGTTGCTCTCACCTCACGTACGTACGCCTGTTCTCAATGAGAACAGGCCTGCAAGTTGCATGGCACGTTGCTCTCACCAGGCCTGCAAGTTGAATGGCACGTTGCTCTCACCAGGCCTGCAAGTTGCATGGCACGTTGCTCTCACCAGGCCTGCAAGTTGCATGGCACGTTGCTCTCACCAGGCCTGCAAGTTGCATGGCACGTTGCTCTCACCAGGCCTGCAAGTTGCATGGCACGTTGCTCTCACCAGGCCTGCAAGTTGCTCTCACCTCACGTACGCACGCCTGTTCTCACCACTCCCCCCCTCTCCCTCCCCCACGTGCAGATGGCGCGCAATGCTTTCCGCTGGTCCCGGTCAGTGCGCTTCATGGATTACTACGAGCGGGCTATGATGAACGGGGTCATGGGCATTCAACGTGGCACACAGCCCGGTGAGAGGGGTGAGAGGGGTGAGAGGGGTGAGAGGGGTGAGAGGGGTAATACCAGTCTTACTACATAGGGAATACATAGGGCGCTGGACTCGCTCAGTGCGTTTCATGGATTACTATGAGCGGGCCATGGCGAATGGAGTCATGGGCATTCAGCGTGGCACACAGCCCGGTGAGTGTCTTATCGGGCACACATAGGGCACTGGACTCGCTCAGTGCGCTTCATGGACTACTACGAGCGGGCCATGATGAATGGGGTCATGGGCATTCAGCGCGGCACACAGCCCGGTGAGTGCGTGAGTGGGGCACGCAGCTTAAAGGGTGGGACGATGGCGCATGGGGCCCTGACCCACTGGGTGCGCTTCATGGTACTATGAGTGGGCCATGAGTGATGGGCATTCAACGTGGCACGCAGCCTGGTGACTGCGTGAGTGGGACACGCAGCGCAGTGGGGGGAGTGGGACGATAGTGCATAGGGCACTGGGCGCGTTCAATGCGCTTCATGGACTAGTACGAGCAGGCCATGATGAATGGGGTCATGGGCATTCAACGCGGCACCTAGCCAGGCGAGAGGGGCGATGGCAGCAGGGGGGAGTGGGGCGGTAGTGCATGGGGCAATGGGCGCGTTCCTTGCGCTTCATAGGCACTTCGTGAACATTTCGTGAACATTTCGTGAACACGTATGGCCAACTGTGGAAGAGAAACGCATGACGAATGGAGTTATGGGCAGCCACTGCGGCCCACGACCCATAACTGGCCTCACACTCTTTCCCCCCTTCCCCCACCTCCCTCCAGGCGTGATGATATACATGTTACTGCACAGAGCGGGTAACAGCAAGGCACGCGGTTACCATGGCTGGAGCCGCCCTTAGAGTAGAGTAGACACCCTTGTTCTCCCCTGACGTGACCCTATTACTGACCTCTTCTCCTCCTCTCCCCGCCACCCCATCCAGGAGTGATGATATACATGCTACCGCACGGGCCAGGTAACAGCAAGGCACGCGGTTACCACGGGTGGGGCACGCGTTAGAGTAGACACCCTTGGTCTCCCCTGACGCGACCTTATTTCTGCCTCTTCCCCTCCCCTCCCCTTCCCCCCAACCCCTCCACCCCTCCAGGCGTGATGATATACATGCTACCACATGGGCCAGGTAACAGCAAGGCACGCGGTTACCACGGGTGGGGCACGCCCTTCGACTCCTTCTGGTGCTGCTACGGCACGGGTGAGAGGGCTATGGCACGGGTGAGGGGGATACGGCACGGGTGAGAGGGATACGGAGCAGTGGTTACATGGTTACCACGGCTGGGGCACGCCCTTCGACTCCTTCTGGTGCTGCTACGGCACGGGTGAGAGGGCTATGGCACGGGTGAGGGGGATACAGCACGGGTGAGAGGGATACGGAGCAGTGGTTACATGGTTACCACGGCTGGGGCACGCCCTTCGACTCCTTCTGGTGCTGCTACGGCACGGGTGAGAGGGCTATGGCACGGGTGAGGGGGATACGGCACGGGTGAGAGGGATACGGAGCAGTGGTTACATGGTTACCACGGCTGGGGCACGCCCTTCGACTCCTTCTGGTGCTGCTACGGCACAGGTGAGACCCTGGTGCCTTCATGGGCTTTAAGCACTGTGAGTGAATGGTATGTGTGCGTGTGGTTACACGGTTACCACGGTTGGGGCACGCCCTTCGACTCTTTCTGGTGCTGCTACGGCACAGGTGAGAGGGCTATGGCGAAGTGGTTAGTGAGTACGGTGCAGGTGGGTGGGATATGGCGCAGTGCAGTGGGCTGTGCGTCTCTCTCCCTAACCTAAAGCCATGGGAGTAAGTTGCTTATCTTTATCCTCCTCAGGGATGAAAGGTGAAACTTCATACGTGAAAGGTGGGCGAGCGGGCGGGATAAGAGAACTTATTTCAGTAAGACCTGTCTTCCCCTTTTTTTACCCTCTCACGACCTCATCATTGTCTCCCTCACACTCACAGGCATAGAGTCATTTGCAAAGCTTGGGGATTCGATTTACTTTGAGTCGCCAGTCAAGAGCGGCCGGCAGAACAGCACCGACGGGCGGCGCTTCTTGTCTGCTTCTGCCACGTCAAAATCCTCCTCCTCCGTGCCTCGTCTGTACGTGGTCCAGTTCGTCTCCAGCGTGCTGACGTGGCAGTCCGCGCAGCTAGCGCTCCAGATGACTGCCACGTGGCCCTCCTCCATCCGGCCAATCCTGGAGGTCCAGCTGGAAGTGATTCCATGGAATGGGGGAAACGAGGAGAGTGGTCGAGCGGCAACAGGGAGAGCAGAGGGAGCAGAAGCAGAAGAATCGGCATCAGGGGGAAGGGAGGGAGAGAGTGGACAAGCAGTATGGGAAGGGGTAGAGGAAGCACAAGGAGTGGCGGCAGCTGCAGGCAGTGCGGTAGCAGACGGTGCAGCGGAAGGCAGTTCGGTAGCAGACGGTGCAGCGGAAGACAGTGCGGTAGCAGACGGTGCAGCAGCCGAGGTGTATCTCCGCATTCCCTCCTGGGCTGCTGCTGCTGCTGCTTCTTCTGCTTCCGGTTCCACCCCTCACTGCACAGCCAGTCTCAACGGGAACAGCCTGCCATGCCCCAAGCCAGGTACCACCAAACCCTGTTAACATCTGAACCCTGACCCGCCCACCCAATGCACTGCCCTTCCGTCGTCTTCCCCTTCCCCCCATCCCACCCCTCCCCCTCTTTCGTTGTTCTCCCGCCCGCCACCTTCCCCATCCCCGACTTTTGTGACCCACTCAATGGGAACAGCCTGCCATGCCCCAAGCCAGGTACCACTTCAAAACTTCGAGGTGGCTGGTACTATAATCATGCTGCCACAACCATACCTTTGCCCCTTGTGTAAACAGAGATGTTTTGAGACGTCTCAAAACATCTCTGTTTACACGTAGCCCGGTACCACTTCAAAACTTTGAGGTGGCAAGTAAAACTATAATCATGCTGCCACCACCATACCTTTGCCCCTCCAAGGGTGCTCCTACCTCCCCTTCCGGTCTTGTTTTACTGCCACCCGCGCCCCCCCTCCCCCCATTTGTTTTTACTGCTGCCCGCCTAGCCCCCCCTGCCTGTGCCATCAACCGCTCTCTGCTGCTGCTTCTGTATTCTGACCCTTGCGATTCTGCGATTCCCGTCTCTTCCAGGAAAGTTCCTGCGAGTGCGCAGGGAGTGGAGGGAGGGTGACGTCATCTCTCTCAACATCTCCTTCACGCTGCGAGCGGAGCGCATTCAAGGTGAGATTCGAGCGTGCGTGCGCCTCTTGAACATCCGGCCGCCATCTCCCTCAGCATCTTCCTCACGCTGCAAGCAGAGCAAGCAGTGCGCCTCTTCAACATTCGTGATAAAGATTCAAGCATGCTCATCCCTTTCTTTGGTTCTCACCCTCCCACCCTGTTTTCCCCCCTCCTTCCATACAGACGACCGTCCCCAATACGCCTCGCTCCACTCCATCCTCTTCGGTCCGCATCTCTTGGTCGGCCTAACGGACGGCGATCGCGAGCTCATCCCAGGCTTCGACCCGTCACACCCTGCCACGTGGATCCGCCCCGTGGACCCTGAGGTGCTCAACCAGCAACTGATCTCCCTGTCACTGCTCGCACCGCCACATCAGCAGCCACGTCAGCAGGAGCGGGACGGCAACGAGAGGGCCGGCGGCAGTGATGAGAGCGCTGATCAGTACGTTGTCTGGCGCCGAAGTGATGAGAAACAGCCATTGGCAGGTGGTACTCCGTTGCTGGCTGGGCTGACACGTGGCAGGCCAGGAGAGGGCACAGAGGAAGCCATGTCAGCAACGTTCAGAGTGCGAGGGCCGGTGGAACGGAGGGGAGGGGACATTGGTATGAAAAGGAGGGAAAGAGCGGACGAGGAAGAGGCAGGGGGAAGAGAGAAGAGCGAGCAGGGAGAGAAGTGGGAGCAGGGAGAGAAGGAGAAGGAGGAGTGGCGGTGGGACAGCGGCGGTGTGGCTGCTCTGAATGGCCGGGAGATCTCCCTCGAGCTGCTGGAGATTCCTGGAAGCTTCCTGGCCGTGGACTGGTGCGGTGGGGGCGGAGCAGGGCGGACTGAGGGGGGGAAGGGGGAGGTCGAGGGGGGAAAGGTAACAGCAGCAGGGGCAGGGTCAGCAGCAGGGGAGACACGGAGGCTGGTATGGCGGACGAGGGGTGAGATGAACGCATGCCGGAGTGAGATGCTGCCGGGTGGGAAGGCTGAGTCGACTGGAGACGTTGTTGCGTGTCGGGCTGGGCGGGCTGCTGTGTTCCGACTCGTTGCCGGGGAGGAGGGCAGTGGTGAAGGGGTGATGCTGGAAGGGTCGAGACTGGAAGGGGTTAGGCTGGAGCTGGCAGAATGCCCCGAGTGGGTCGTTTCTCTAGACACTAGCAGCAGCAGCCTTGGCAGTGGCAGCACAGCAGCCAGTCTGGTGGTTCAACGCACAGGAAAACCATCCGATTCCTGGGCCCCTCCTCTCCCGTGTTCGTCTCCCGCGGTGCTCTTCTCGATCCATGAGGGCCTGGCAGCAGGCAGCGCCATGAGCTTCATTGCCAAGGGAGCCTCGCGGGATTTCCTGCTGCAGCCGATATCGGAGTTGAGAGATGAGCGTTACACCTCCTACTTCAATGTCACCGCCGCCCCGCCACCTGCCCCGCCCTCTCCCCCTCCCTCTCCTCCCTCCCCTGCTCCAGCCCCATCATACTGAAAGCAGCACCATGAGCTTCATTGCGGAGGGAGCCGCGCGGGACTTCCTGTTGCAGCCGATATCGGAGTTGAGAGATGAGCGTTACACCTCCTACTTCAATGTCTCTGCTGCTCCGCCTCCTACCCCGCCTTCTCCTCCTCCATCCGCCTCATACTAAAGGCACCCCCCTGCCCTCACAAGCTGAGAGATGAGCGCTGCACCTCCTACTTCAATGTCACACCCGCCCCACCTCCTGCCCCTCCCGCTTCCCTCCCCTCCAACACCCTCGCACTGAAGGGCACCCCTATGCCCTCAGGAGCTCACAGATGAGCGCTACACCTCCTACTTCTTTGTCTCTGCTGCCCCGCCACCTGCCCCGCCTCCTGCCCCGCCCTCGCCTCGTCCATCCGCCTCGTAAAGGCACCTCCCTGCCCTCAGGAGCTCATAGATGAGCGCTACACCTCCTACTCCAATGTCTCTGCTGCTCTGCTCTTCCTGCCCCGCCTTCTCCTCCTCCCTCTCCCACTCCCTGTCCACGCTCCATCCCCCTCTTACTTAAAGGCCCACTATAGCATCAGCACTTAGCATCAGCAGGCTCTGCTGTAACTGCGGAACAACAGCAACCAAAACATTTTTTTTCGTACACGTCGCACCGATCAGCCTTTCACTGATTCCCTTGCTTATCCCCCTGATTGATTTCCACTTCCGGTATGCCTCTGGTGGCTGTATATGTAGATGTGAGCTTTTGTGCCGTATGTTTGTTACTACGGTACCATCTTCATTATCCAACAACGAACCCAGTTCGGATGGTTGGTTAAACTTTGCACAAACTTGTTTTTGGTTCCAAAAAGATCTGCTGTTTGCACATTTGGACACTGCTGAACCCCTTTATATAGCCTATATAGTACAACATGACCTTGAAGTATGAACCATTTATTCTGTTGAGAGTCGTGTCCGTTGGATCATGTCATATTGCAACATACATAAAGAGGTCATTGTAGTGAGTTTCTTTGTAGCGAGTCACTTTGTAGTGAGGAAGGACTGAATGCGTTGAAGCAGCTCCGCCTTCACTGGTCCTGGCACAGATGCTGATGCCAGTACATGGCAGCACATACCATAGCAGCACATGCAATCCAATACACATGCAGGGCAGCATATGCAATTCAGCACACATGCAAGGCAGCACATGGTTGCAGGAAGGTAAGTCCCTCCAAAGAAATCAGTCACTAGTGCAGAAATTGAGTCAGGGTAACCATCAAAATGCCACCTAGGTGTTTACCTAGAGCCATCCTACCTAAACACATGCGGATGGCAAGCAGAGAAAACATAAGTTGCACACGAGAGGAAAACCACTACAAGACAAGAAACCAAGCACGCACCCCTTCCCTCCACACACCCCTGCCCTGCCCACCACAATGCGCATGCATGGTAAAGAGAAACCAGACGCACACCCCTCCTTCCTTCCACGCACCTCGGCCCTTGGGTGTGATGGCCCGTATGAGCTCGTCCAATGAGACGTTCTCTCGACCCATCTTGCTCACATAGGCTGTTGAAAATACTTAGAGCTAACCGATTAAAAAAACCAGGCACACCCGCTCCTCCCCTCCACGCACCTCGGCCTTTGGGTGTGATGGCCCGTATGAGCTCGTCCAATGAGACGTTCTCGCGGCCAACCTTGCTCACATATGCTCTGATGGATGACCGGACCATGAGACAAGAGAGAGAGAGAGAGAGAGAGAGAGAGAGAGAGAGAGAGAGAGAGAGAGAGAGAGAGAGAGAGAGAGAAAGCGTAAGGATCTGTGGGGAGGCATGCATGCGTGCAGGTCACTGCATTGAACTGCACCATCCATATGCCACATGAAGAAAAGGAAAAAAAAAACAAATGAATGGCATAGGGGAAAAGCAAATGCCCTAAGGCAACTGGCAATAGCGCTTGTAGAAGAAGAGCTTACCAAGCCAAATACCACCCACCCAAACACCCGCCCCACCAAACAGTCACCCACGTGGCACAGCACCCACGCACCCCGCACACCACCCACCCAGCACGCCCCCCACCCACCTGGCGTAGACCAGGAGGTCATCCGTCCACCCACACTCCTCCAGCCTGTCTCTCAGCAGGGTCTTTAGCCGCTCCTTCTCCCCACTCTCCAACAGCTGAGTGGGGAGGTAAGGGAGGAGGGAGGAGGGAGGAGGGAGGGAGAAGAAAGGGAGGTGGACAATCGTTGGAGACTATTTGTAACTCCGCTAGAAACGTTCACCACACCACACACCCTGCTGCCTTTGAGGCGCCTCAAATACAGAAAACGGGAGGTGGACAATCGTTGGGAGGCTATTTGTAACTCCGCTAGAAACGTTCACCACTCACCCTGCTGCAGTATCACACCCCTCTGGAGTCACACACACCACCTTGTTAGAGTCAGACGCTTCGTTAAACTCACACACCTCTTTTGTATTCCACACCATGACAACACACACCTCGATGTAGTCACACCCCTCGCTAGAGTCACACTGTCACACCTCACCTTAGCGTCAACCACTTGTCGCAGCGACGTGGGCTCCCCTCCTCCCCCTACTCGCCCCTCTGGCTCCGGCGTTGGCGGGCGGTTCACTGACGACCGCCTGCAGGGGGGGAGAGAGGGGGGAGGGGGGGACAGGTGAAAATGAAAGGGGGTGAGGGATAAGCGAGGAAGGGAAGTGTTGGCGGGCGGTTCACAGACGACCGCCTGGAGTGGGGAGGGTTGGGGTAAGGGGCAGGTGCGTTAACACGGAGGAAGGGGAAGAGGGGGGCTCGGGCGTTGGCGGGCGGTTCACTGATGACCGCCTGCAGTGGGGAGGGTGGGGGAGGGGGGTTAAGGCAGGTGAGTTTAGAGGGGGGTGAGTGGTACGGGAGGAGGGGGGCGTTGGCGGGCGGTTCACTGACGACCGCGTGCAGTTGGCGGGAAGGGGGGTTGGGGCGAAGGGCAGTAGGGACGAAGGGCAGTAGGGACGAAGGGCAGTAGGGACGAAGGGCAGTAGGGACGAAGGGCAGTAGGGACGAAGGGCAGTAGGGACGAAGGGCAGTAGGGACGAAGGGCAGTAGGGACGAAGGGCAGTAGGGACGAAAGGAGGGGTTGGTTGGGAAAGGTTTGGACGTGCGTTGGAATGGAAAAAGGGGCGTTGGCGGGTGGTTCACTGATAAACGATTGCGGTGAGGGGGATAGTGGGGTTGGGACGAAGGGGAGTTAGGGACGAAAGGAGGGGTTGGGGGGGTTAGAGGTGCGTTGGAATGGAATACGGGGCGTTGGCCGGGGGGGAGGGGTGGGGGGATGGATGGGATGGGAGATGTTAGCGGGCGGGCGGTTCGCAGGTGACCGGCTGGTGCGGAGTAAGATGAGGCGGGTGCCTGGGAGGGGGGAGGGAGATTAATGACGAGTAAGTGGGAGATGGAGGTATTAGCGTTGGCAGGCGCGGAAGACGAGAGGCTCGGAGAGACAGCGAGAGTGGAGGCGATTTTGAATCGACTCAAGAAGCAGCGAGAGTCTAGGCGGCAGCGACGGGAAGGCAGAGGGGGGCGACTTAGGGTTCACTCACGACGCCATGCGACGGGTGTGAAATAGGCTGCTGCTGCGACGCGCACGGAACGACGAGGCTGTGGTGCGAGATTGGCGATTCAGAAGAGGGTCGCTGGGAAACGGGATGACGGGGAGTCGCGCGCGGAGAACGGAGAATATAAGAATGGGCTAGGAATGCTGCTCAAGGACCAGTTTCTGATGAAATTACGAAAACAGAAGTCAAAGCACTGCGCATCCGGGGAATCGAACCCCGGTCAGTACCGTGGGAGGGTACTACTAATTTTACCTCAAACATAATCCACCTTCAACAACTGGGCCAAATGAACCTAAGTGTCGTATGTTGTTTCCGTCGCTGGCCGCCATTGCTCGCAGGATGGAGATCATCTATCGCTGTCCCGACGAAGCGGGCGTGACGGTCCCGAACGGCGTGCTTCTCCCGGAATTCGCGCTCGAGAATGCGTCGCGATGGCCCGACAGACGCGCGTTCGTCGATGGAGTCACGGGCCGCACGCTCACGTTCGCTCAGGTGACTCTCTCTCCCTAGGTGGATTTATTCGACAGTCCCAAAGTGAATTCACATATCCTCAGGCGACACTCCCAAGGTGCTCAGCTGACACTCCCCAGGTGACGTCACTCGACAATCCCTAGGTGCATTACGTCTGCTCAGATGATGCATGCAATGATGCATGCTCACGAATCACTCCCTAGTTTCGTTTACGCAATTTCAGGTAAACTATGCTAGATGACGCACTCTCAGATGAATTATTCCCAGATGACGTTTTCGTAGATGGCTTTATGCTCGGATGACGTGTTCTCAGGTGGCTTGATGCTCAGATGACGTGTTCTCAGGTGGCTTGATGCTCAGATGACGTGTTCTCATGTGGCTTGATGCTCAGATGACGTGTTCTCATGTGGCTTGATGCTCAGATGACGTGTTCTCAGGTGGCTTGATGCTCAGATGACGTGTTCTCATGTGGCTTGATGCTCAGATGACGTGTTCTCAGGTGGTTTGATGCTCAGATGACTCAAGGTGAATTTACCTAGTAGGTGCATTCAGGCAACACTCCCTAGGTGCATTCAGGCGACACTCCCTAGGTGCATTCAAGCCTTCGTCTTTCCTGTTCGAGTAGGTGGAGGGGATTGTGTACCACGTGGGTCTTTGAATCGCCTCAAGGCTTGTAGTGCCACTGACATGCATTGACGGCATGTCACACACACATCAGCCTTCTTGTTTCCTGTGTGCGGGCAGGTGAAGCAGCTCGTGTACAGCGTGGCACATCGAACTGCTTTTGCTGTACTTCGAATCGCCCCAATGCTCGTAGTACATCTGGCATGCAGCAGCCACGCGACTGCCACGCAGCCATGGCATGTCACACTCACATGAGCCTCCTTCCTTGTGCGCTGTGTGCGAGCAGGTGGACGAGCTCGTGTACAACATCGCTGCTGGCATCACCGATCTTGGTATCCGGTACTGCACTCTCCTCTGCTGCTCTGCTCTCCTCTGCTGCTCTAATCTGCTCTCCTCTGCTGCTCTAATCTGCTCTCCTCTGCTGCTCTGCTCTCCTCTGCTGCTCTAATCTGCTCTCCTCTGCTGCTCTAATCTGCTCTCCTCTGCTGCTCTGCTCTCCTCTGCTGCTCTAATCTGCTCTCCTCTGCTGCGTTGGCGGGCGGTTCACTGATGACCGCCTGCAGTGGGGAGGGTGGGGGAGGGGGGTTAAGGCAGGTGAGTTTAGAGGGGGGTGAGTGGTACGGGAGGAGGGGGGCGTTGGCGGGCGGTTCACTGACGACCGCGTGCAGTTGGCGGGAAGGGGGGTTGGGGCGAAGGGCAGTAGGGACGAAGGGCAGTAGGGACGAAGGGCAGTAGGGACGAAGGGCAGTAGGGACGAAGGGCAGTAGGGACGAAGGGCAGTAGGGACGAAGGGCAGTAGGGACGAAGGGCAGTAGGGACGAAGGGCAGTAGGGACGAAGGGCAGTAGGGACGAAGGGCAGTAGGGACGAAAGGAGGGGTTGGTTGGGAAAGGTTTGGACGTGCGTTGGAATGGAAAAAGGGGCGTTGGCGGGTGGTTCACTGATAAACGATTGCGGTGAGGGGGATAGTGGGGTTGGGACGAAGGGGAATTAGGGACGAAAGGAGGGGTTGGGGGGGTTAGAGGTGCGTTGGAATGGAATACGGGGCGTTGGCCGGGGGGGAGGGGTGGGGGGGTGGATGGGATGGGAGATGTTAGCGGGCGGGCGGTTCGCAGGTGACCGGCTGGTGCGGAGTAAGATGAGGCGGGTGCCTGGGAGGGGGGAGGGAGATTAATGACGAGTAAGTGGGAGATGGAGGTATTAGCGTTGGCAAGCGTTTCTCCCGCCTTCCCCTGTGCAGTCACGTGTTGCTGCTCCCCAACATGCCTGAGTACGCTGTTCTCCCCCTCGGGACCATCAGAACACCTCCCTCCCAACTCCCGCGACTATCCCCCTTGCCTCCAATTTCCTCCCCCAACCCATGCCTCCCTCCAATGCAGGCCCGGCGAGTCTGTCTTACTGCTGCTCCCCAACATGCCAGAGTACGCGCTGCTCTTCCTCGGGATCATAGCAGCACACCTCACCGCTATCTCCTGCTACTACTACTCCCCTGCCTCCAGTTCCCCCCAACCCATGCCGTTCTTCCCGAACCAGTCCAGGCGAGTCTGTCTTACTGCTCCTCCCCAACATGCCAGAGTATGCCGTTCTCCTCCTCGGGATCATCGCAGCAGGCGCCAGTGTTAACCACCGCCAACCTTGCTGCACCCGGTCCTCCATTTCCCCCCCCCCCGGCCCCTTTCCCACTGCAGTCCCGGCGAGTCGGTGCTGCTGCTCCTCCCCAACATGCCAGATACGCGGTCCTCTTCCTCGGGATCATTGCAGCACCTTACTCCCATCTCCTGCTGCCCTCCTTCCTCCGTTCTACCCCACTCGACCCCTGTCTCCCTCCCAATGCAGTCCCGGCGAGTCTGTGCTGCTGCTGCTCCCCAACATGCCCGAATATGCCGTGCTCTTCCTCGGGATCATCGCAGCGGGTGCAGTGGTAACCACCGCCAACCCCGCCTACAGCGCTCGTGAGCTGTCGCACCAGATGGTGGACGCGGGGGCCCGCATGGTCATCACCTCGCCAGAGTTGTTAGGTGCGTTCTTAGAGGTGTGCACTGGTGAGTGCATGCATGGGCCTTGAGGTGGTCACGAGGGTGTCTCCACCCCGCCTGCAGCTCTCGTGAGCTGGCGCACCAGATGGTGGACGCGGGGGCACGCATGGTCATCACCTCGCCCGAGCTCTTAGGTGCGGCGTGGCTTCACTTGAAGTGCTGGTTGCATGGATGGTGGATTGCATGGGTCATGCTCTGGTCACCATGATTCTGAGTGATCTGCTGGGTTGGGTTGGGTTGGGGTGTTTGCCAGAGCTGCTCGGTAGAGCGTGTGAGGACAGCTGATACTGTGCAATCTTCTAATACGTCATGCCATGCCATGACCGTCTGTCTGCTACAATGCCATGCACGATGCATCTGCCGCAGCATCGTGCACTCACTCCCCTCCACCCTCACCCTCCCTCCGTGTTTTCTCTGCCATGACCCTCCAGAGAAGGTGCATCACGTCAAGACAGGCCAGTCCATCGTCTTTGTCATCATCAATAGCGACAACAGCAACAGCAGCAGCTCTATCCCCCCTGGCACCATCAGCATCGACCGACTGCTCCGTGCTGACGGGTCCAAGATTCGATCACAGCGACAACACCTCCACAGCACCCTTCAGCATCAACAGCAACACCCCTCTTTCACAGCACAAGCAACACCACCAACAGCAGCAGCAGCAGCAGTAGTCGCAGCAGGATCAGTAGCAGGAGGATCAGCAGTGGTACCTTCCCAGCAGGACACCTGTGCTCTCCCCTACTCATCGGGCACAACAGGCGTGTCTAAAGGCGTGATGCTCACCCACCGCAACCTCATCGCCAACGTGCAGCAGCTGCTGGCAGGCACCAACCCGCGCCTGGACCTGTCTCCCGAAGACGTGGTGCTGGGGCTGCTGCCCATGTTCCACATCTACGCCATCACCCTCGTCAACCTCCTCTCTCTGCGTGGGGGGGCCTGTGTTGTCACCCTCCCCAGGTAAATTCTAACTTAACTCTCCTCAGGTAACTTCTAACTCAACTCTCCCCAGGTAACTTCCAACTTAACTATTCCCAGGTAAATTCTAACTTACCTCTCCCCAGGTAATTTCTAACTTAACCTTTCCCAGGTAATCTCTAACTTAACCCTCCCCAGGTAAGTTCTAACTTAACTCTCCCAAGGTAACTTACGAACCAAACTTTCCCAGGTGCTTTGGAGCCACGTGATAAAATTTGGGTTTTTAGACGTCTCAACACCCAACTTTTATCACGTGGCCACCCTTTCCACGTGCATTGTAAACAACCCTCCCCTCCCCTCCCCTACCCTCCCCTCCCCTCCCCTCCCCTCCCCTCCCCTCCCCTCCCCTCCCCTCCCATGCGAATGGGAAGCCAGAGAGCGAGAAGCCTAGGAATGCGACTGCAATTCATCTATGCTGTGATGTGACCCGCCCCTGAAACAACCCCCCCAGGTTCGACCTGCACCAGTACCTGCGAACACTGCAGGATTACAGAGTCACCGTGGCGCCCATCGTGCCGCCCATCATCCTAGCCATGGCCAAGCTGCCCCTCGTTGACTCCTTTGACCTCTCCTCCCTGCGCCGGGTCGTGTCGGGGGCGGCTCCCCTGGGGGCAGAGCTTGAAACCGCCTTCAGAGCGAAATTTCCCACCGTGCAGCTGGGGCAGGTAGGCATGGGGCAGGTAGGCTGGGACAGGTAGGCATGGGGCAGGTAGGCTGGGACAGGTAGGCATGGGGCAGGTAGGTGTGAGGAAACCGCATCAGGGGTAGGTGCAGCTGGGGCAGGCGCGGACCGTGAGGTGGAGTGGAGCTTGACGCCGCCTTCAGAGCGAGATTTCCCACCGTGTATGTAGCTGGGGCAGGTAGGCATGGGGCAGGTAGGTGTGAGGAAACCGCATCAGGGGTAGGTGCAGCTGGGGCAGGCGCGGACCGTGAGGTGGAGTGGAGCTTGACGCCGCCTTCAGAGCGAGATTTCCCACCGTGTATGTAGCTGGGGCAGGGGGCATAGTTTTTTGGGAATTCTCAAAAACCTGCCTTCAGAGCGATAGTTCCCACTGTGTAGCTGGGGCAGGTGGGCATAGGGTGGGTGCTGTTGGGGGAGGTGGGCATGGGGAAGCACAGCCGGGTGGAAGAACTTGGGGTGGGTGCAGCTGCCCACCCCTGCCTGCCCTATTCGCCCGCGTGCAGCGCCCGCCTCCCCCCTTCTTTTTCTTGAGCCTTTCTTCCCTCCCCTCCCCACCCTCAGGGCTATGGCATGACAGAGGCCTCTCCCACTGTCACTGCCTCGCGCCTCTTCGCCCGTGTGCCCCGTTCGCCCACTTCCGCCTTTTTCTTGAGCCTTGCACAAACCCCTCTTCCCGCCCCACCTTCCCTCTCCCCACCCCTCAGGGCTACGGCATGACAGACGCCTCCCCTACCATCACCGCCTCGCGCCTATTCGCCCGCCCCCCCCCCCCTTTCTTTTTCTTGAGCCTTTCTTCCCTCCCCTCCCCACCCCTCAGGGCTACGGCATGACAGAGGCATCTCCCACTGTCACTGCCTCGCGCCTATTCGCCCGTGTGCCCCGCCCGCCCGCTCCTGGGTCGTGTGGGTCGGTGCTGCCGCTGACGGAGATCAAAGTGGTGCACACAGGCACGGGGGAGTCGCTGCCACCCAATGAGAGAGGAGAGCTCTGGGTGCGAGGACCGCAGGTCATGAAAGGTGGGTATGTGCGTGGGTGGTTGTGGATGGGTGGGGGTGTGGAGTGGGTGTGTGTAGGTGTGTGGTTATGTGTGAGTGGGATACGTTGAAATTTGGGTGCAGGTCCTGAAAGGTGTGATTCCTTAGCTCCCCAGGTTGAAACGTGACTCTGTAACCGTTCAATACTGTTTCCCTTTACCTCCACTGTGCACCCCTCTCCAACTCTTCACCTCACTCCATTCGTCGATCCCCTTTTCAGCCCAAAGGCCATCTCAGCGATCCCCTTCTTCCAACCCCCTCCACTCTATCTCTTCTCCCCCCCCATTCCCGATCCCTTCCATTGATCCCCACCATTCTTGTCCCCTCCATCCCAAAGGTTATCTGAACAACCCCTCACGCCTGACGGCCGGCTGCTCACAGGGGCACGTGGCGTATGTGGAAGAGGCACGGGGAAGATCTACATGCCTCCTCCCCCAACCAACTTACGCTCCCTTCCTCTCCGCCCTCCCTCTCCTTCCTTCCCCTCCACCCTTCTGCCCGCCTCTCCCCCCTCGAAACCCAAGGCTATCTGAACAACCCCGAAACCACAGCAGCCACACTCACGCCTGGCGGCTGGCTGCGCACGGGGGACGTGGCGTATGTGGATGGGATGGGGGGGTCCACCTCCGTCCTCCTTTGACTCTCTTCTCTTCGCCTCCCTTTTACTCCACCCTTCTGCCGCCTCTCTCCCCAAGCCTATCTGAACAATCCCGAGGCCACAGCAGCCACGATCACCCCTGAAGGCTGGCTGCGCACGAGGGACGTGGCGTATGTGGATGGCCGGAGGGGTTATCAACCTGCCTCCTCCCCCTCTGTTTCCACTCCCTTCCTCTCCACCCTTCCTCCCCACCCTTCTGCCTGCCTTTCTCCTCAAAGGCTATCTGAACAATCCCGAGGCCACAGCAGCCACGATCACGCCTGACGGCTGGCTGCGCACGGGAGATGTGGCATATTTGGACAAGATGGGGGAGATCTTTGTGGTGGACCGAGTTAAGGAGCTCATCAAAGTCAAGGGCTTCCAGGTGGGAATGGTGCTCTCGTGATACGTAACTGTAGTGAATGTGCTTGTTTCGGAGGGAGATGTGGCGTATGTGGACAAGATGGGGGAGATCTTTGTGGTGGACCGAGTTAAGGAGCTCATCAAAGTGAAAGGCTTCCAAGTGAGATGTCACTATAGCAAAATGTCTGCTCCACATGAGAAATGTCTTCTTGCCCCCGAACCCTTCTCTCTCCTCTGTAGTGCATGCTGGCTGCAATGCAAGGCGTTTCTGACCTGTCTCTTTCTCTGTTTCCTGCTCCCCCAGGTGCCTCCTGCGGAGCTGGAGGGTCTGCTGATCGCCCATCCTGACATTGCCGATGCTGCAGTTGTTCCGTACGCCCCCATGCCCTCCCCTCTCTTGCCCTTTGAGGCGCCTCAAAAGCCATCCTCACATTGCCGATGCTGCAGTTGTTCTGTATGCCTCCATGCTCTCCCCTCTCTTGCCCTGCTTGCCGCTCCCTCATGTTGCACGCTCACTTGCTCCTGTTCCTTCTGTTCAAACACTCAACATATCAACTATACTAATCAGTTGTTTTTTCTTCTGATTTCTCCTTCTGCGGCAGCTATCTTTCTTTAGCATAGGCCGGTATCATGCCCTGAACTGTGTAGGTTTGCATCAAGCCCTGCAACTTTTTTCCCTTTCCACCTTTCACAGTGCTCCAAGTGAAGAGAGTGGGGAGGTGCCGGTGGCGTTTGTGGTGTTACGTCAAGGCGGTGCAAAGCTGTCAGTCAACGAAGTCAAGGATTTTATCAGCAAGCAGGTGAGTGCGATTAGTAAATGCGCAGTTACGTAGTCCATGTGGCATGTTCCTGTAGGGATCACACAAGGATGTCCTGATATTTGGTTAGTTGCAGGTGGCGACATATAAGAGGCTTCATGATGTGATTTTTGTGGATGCAATTCCGAAGACGGCTTCTGGCAAGGTGTTGCGCAAGGACCTGAAGGCACGACTATGAAGGCATGCTTTGTACAGTCTGAAGCAGTGGCCTTTCTGTTTGCATGAATTTGTGTTGTTACTACGCTTAGTTGGAACGCGTGTACTTTTACCTGTACATGTGAAAGGCTACACTCTTGTACTTGAATAAAGGCACCCACTACGCAAGCCAATAAGGCTGCTGCAGGTTCTTTCTGAAATACCCGTGCGGAAACAGCTCGTTTGAAAAGTGCTGGCGGGAAACAAGTTTGTGGTCCCACAAGCCAGGGATCGCATGCCTGCCGAATCGCTAATTGCTGACATGGACATTGGGATTGTGGAAACATCTAGGACTGGCGCAAACACGATTGCAAACGTCAAAGCACGGGCGAAATCCACTGACGTGTGAGGAAAGTTGACGGTGACACTGACAATCGAACACCATGAGCTCTGGTTTCAAACGGTAATCGTTAAAATTGAGGGCACCCTCTTCCGCTGCAACTGAATTCCTGGGGCAATCCCTGAGTTCGTTTTGTCATGGCTGTTGGAATTGCTTGTTAGTCATCATTTTAGCTCGGATTCATTAGCCTTCAGGCGTAGTGGCTGCTTCTGTTGCTTGTAGGGCTGACGCTCTTAGAGCTCTTTGTCATGTGCTATGTAATACGCATTGCTTCTCGGTGAGGATTACGTTTCGCCCGTTCTCGATAACTGTTTGTAGCGGCCGTTTCTCTTGGTTCCATTGCTGAAGCTGCACTTCACATCTCTGGCTGAACCCTCGCCTTATTTAGAGAAGCTCTAGTGACAGCTGCAATCAGCCATGCCTGGCACCGTGCGAATCACAGGTACGCATAGTTGCCGAGATAAGCTCACTCAGTTAACTGACATTCTTTGGTGTCATCACTTACGCTATGGCGTGCGAACGTTACCTCGTCCTTTCACTCAGCATTCTTTGTTGACGCGGTAGTGTTATGTGAAATCAGAACTGTTTACCTCTTTCGTTATTTTACCTTTCGGTATTCTACAGTGTTGGAGGTCGTCGATCTTCCAGGGCCATCAGGTACTCAATAGCTCTTTTTCTGCTGACCCTTCGACTCTACCTCCTCGTTCTTCTATCGAAAGCTTTGCGGCCTGTGTTCTTCCATCGAACTCTGTCTAACGTACTGCTTGCTCCCATTGTGTGTCTCGACAAACCCGAAACACCATTATAGGGAAGAAATATGCTGTTCAAGGTGAGTTGACGAAGACACGGCTTTTACACAATTTTTGCATTTGCTGGTCAGCTTCGGTGCTGACTGTTCACTTGAGATGTTGCAGTCTCCGTCGGAGCGCGATCATTTTCCACGGATGAGCAAGCATCGACGTCCTCTGGATCAGGAACGTCATCTATCAAGGCATTCAACTCAGATTTCGCTTTGTACGACTTTCTGACACTTTCTGACGCTTACCTCTTCCTGACCGCAATCATCTTCCACTTCGACATCCTGTTGATCGTCGTCCTTTCTGCGTGTCTGAGAGCCCATGCTGTTCTTGAAGCCATGTGGTCTCTGCGTGTGTGGCCGATGTCTTCTCTTGCACGTTGCTATTGTTGCACATTGCCGTTCCTGATGCAGTGCGGTGCTCAACCTCACCGATCCTGTGGTCTTCACACTCCTCGACGCCCGTGGTGTAGCTGTTTGCAAGACCTGTAAGTCCTTCCAGACCCAAGTTTTGTCCTGATCCTCATTCCTAGGTCGTGACTGGTTGAGAAAACTGGAGAAACAAGTGTAACCTTCATGACTTCTACGAAGGTCATCTCTCATGTTTCCTTCCTATGGTGGTCGTGCAGCTCTGTCTGTACCATCCGTGGTGGAAAAGGGCTTTCGTGATGACATGCTTCCATGGAGCAACGGAGGCCAAGTGCACGTCAAGTCCAACTTCATGCTCAGTGATGAGGAACGAGCCAAGATTGCGGCTATGGTGAGTCAATCTCAATAGAAACAAATTAAGTCTTCCGCTGTAATCAGAAGGCACGAAACAGCAAAACATAGCGAGGTGCATGACGGAGCATTAAGGACGTCCGCCAATGCAAGGAGCGAATATAATATGTAGTCCCCTCCTCCTCATCCATTACTTTGCACTACCTTCCAGGGAAATCTGTTACGTTATTCCTTGTTGGTACGAGCACTCTCCATTGACCCCTCGCTTTGAATCGTGACCTGTTAACAGCGTGCCAGGTCGATGAGCAAGCGCAAGGATGGCAGCAGCAGCGGCACTGTCACTCCCATCGCCAGTGGCACTGTGACACCCCGCACTGTCAGTGCCGTGCTCGCCTCTCCCGTTGCCTCCGCTGCTCCAGCAGCCTCGGAGACATCAACAGCGACCGAAGCAGCAGCAGCAAGCACCACAGAGGTGACTGCTGCCACCACAACAACGACAACCACCACCACCACCGTCACTACCAGCACAACTGCGACAACTGAAACCGCTGCAGCCGGTACAGTCGCGGCGTCTACAGCAACCAGTACCGTCTCAGCTGCTGCCCAGAAGGAAAGCGTGGCTGTGACTGCTGCTCTTCCAGGGAGTGCAGCTGCTGGGGCTCCTGTGGATATGTCCAACGTGATGATGGTGTTTGATGGTAGCGATGACGAGTCGGGCTATACTGAGTCGTCCCTGGAAGAGTCTGTCAGTGCGCAGGTCGCTCCTGCTGCCCCAGCAGCACCTGTAGCTGCAGCTGCTGTCCCTGCTGCTGCCTCGCCTGCGGTTCCCACTGCTGTCCCGGATTCTGTCCCTGAGGTTGCTCCTGCTTCAGTTTCTCAAGCTGCTCAAGCGGTGCAGGTTCAGGATCCTGACTCGATTGCAACTGCTACAGTGGAGGTGGTGAAAGAGGTGCAGAAGGAGGTTCAGGTCTCATCAGCACAGGTGCGTGCAAACTTGTGTGTGCGGTTGTCATGGTTTGGCAGACGTGTGATGCCTATGCTGAATTTCTTTTGTCTGTAGCAAAGCATTCCCCAGCTGTGATTTTTTTGTCAACAGATTCGTTCCCTGTGCGTCCGTGTTTGCCGGTGATCATGTGGCTTGCAGCAAACGGCATCAACGACCATCACCAAGACTGACGTCACCATCATCAAGACCGCCACGCAGGTCGCCAGCGAAGCAACAACCATGTCATCAGCAAAGGTCGCCTCAGTCTCAACCTCAACCAAAACCGCCGTCTCAGCAGCAGCAGCATCGGCAGGGGCTTCCGTGCAGGCCGCTATGAGCAGCACGACAGGCAGGGCGAGCGAGCAGTCTAGTGTGCGAGGAGGCGGTGGGGTTGCGGCTGACCTCAATGGTCGTGTTGGCAGCAGCAGCCGACAGCCAGCGGTGGCAGACAGTGAAGCTGCAGAGAGCAGCTGGGAGAGCGGGGATGAGGTGGAGAGCATGGAAGGGTCGTCAGTATCAGGAACGACAGACAGGGAGGTGGTTAGGAGGGGCAAAAGGGGGTCTAGCAAGGGGCGGAATCACAACGGAGGACTGCTGGGTCAGGTGCTGCGGGTTGGTGATGGGCTCACGCCGGTGATGAAGCAGGTGCTGGGTACGGGAGCGTTCATGCTGGCTATGGTTGCGCTCTGGCCGCGCCCACAGAAGCAGAGCCGAGTCCAGCTGGAGTGAGTCGTGTGATTCGTGCTCCCACCCACCACGCATGCCATGTTGCCGCTCATTTCGCACTGCCAGCACGTCCTATTCCTGCAGGGCATGACATCTCACATTGACACATCCTGACCACCTCTGCTGTCTCCATTCCTTTTTGGAATTTCATGGCCTCACATCGCTTCTTTTCGCTAATCGACTGCATTTGTGCTGCTCAGAGTGAGCTGACTGAGTGTTGACCCAATATCCTTTATCGCTTCAAAATTTCTCGATTGCACCCTGGCTTTCTCACCCGCATTTGGCTCTGGATGCTCGATGGCTTGCTGGCTGCGACCCTGGCGATGGTGGTATCGTAATCTGCACGATTGGCTTCTTCGGATCCCAACCTGCAGAACTGATGCTGATGGCAAGTGAGTGGTGCTCTCTACCTTCCCCCTTCCCCCAACACTCCCTTTTTCCCTCTCTGTTTCCTTCAGTCACACCCTATTTCTCTCACTTGCTTGCATGCCCTTCCCTCCACTCCGTGGCAATTTTCGCCATGCATATTCCCCTGCAGTCTATCGTCCCACCTGTAAGACCTTAAAAATTCCCCTGTCCGCTCCTGAATTTTAAATTGTTTCCTATCCACTGCACTCCCTTCTTACCACCCGTCCACGACACGCACGTAGGGTGTGGGTGGTGAAGCCGGGCGAAACCCTCAGCTCTATCCTCCCACGTGAAGTCTACTGCAATCCCTCCTCAAAGTTCTTCGAGCTCAACCCAGAGGTACGACTATCGCTCCCCTCCTCGCCTCTGCCTGATGCTCCGCATGCATTGAACCCTTCCCTCTTTTTATATGCTTTCGGTTTGCTACCACTGTGGTGCCTACTAGTATGTTGCGTCTCATTTCTTCCATCGCACCCCTCACTCCATGTAGTCACGTAGCTGATTGCTCCTACGCTGTGCAAATTATATTTACTTTGCATGACCATTTCTCTACTTGCTCCTCATTCCTTTTGCTTGACTGCAGGTCTGTGACATCAACAGAATCTACTCCGGCCAGCGCCTCGTGCTCCCATAACCTCGCACTTATCACCCTACGGGCATACCGCATATCGTGCTGCGCACAACTACTCGTCCCACCTCAACAATTTACTCCGGCCAGCGCCTCCTCCCATAACCTCACGCTTATCACCCTACGGGCATACCGCATATCGCCCTGCGCACAACCACTCGTCCCACCTCAAGCTTGACTAATGTCACCCGCTTCGTATATGTTATCATGTGACCAGTCTCACGATTACATTTTCCATGTGATGAACAAATGCATTTTCAACCCATGTCCAAGAGGTTGATTGTCACTCCGTATCAGTGTCAGAACCTGTGTCTCGCACGCTCCAGTCACAGACACACTGGAGGACGATTTGGATAAACCCACTAAGAGGTAATTTATGGTAACGGCCGCTGTGGCTTGTGGGACTCGCTGTACACAGCACTCGTCCACCAGATCTCTAGCAGGGAGACGTGTAAGATGTTGTGGTACAATGTTTGAGGGAGCTTTTTTTTTACAGCTGTACAATGTAAAGTAGATCATAGAGAAAACCCCAAAGTTGATTCCTATATTGGAATCTACATTCATAAGGAGACCAAGCCCATTGAGGATGCAACAACGTCATCCACATTGCCAACCATCTGCACCGCACGCTCCAGTGAATCGGGCGGGAACAACAACAGAGGCTCCGCGCTGGTCTGTGAGAACCACATCTCACGTCACGCTGCTGCACAATCTCCTTCCTCCTCACGCAGATCCTCACTTCACCGAGTGTGTGTTGCTGCACCCTCCTCTCGAATCGATTTCTAGATCGTGGAGTGTGTCTAGAGACTAATGTGGTGCGACCACTGGTAGTGGGTGACACGACACGGTAAGGATAGGAGGTTACTTGAGCCCGTTTAGTCAGCCTGACGACATAATAGCTAGCTGATCCATCCTCTCTGCTTCAGCAACCGACCGTATATGCCTTTCGAACGACGTAACATAAGTTACATGATGAGACGAGTCACGCTCAAACGAGTACGTGAACACCCCGCTGCTGCTGGTGGAATGCTGGCGGCGGTGATGCGCTATAGGAGACCCGCCAAAAGCCCCACCCAGCGAACCGCCCAGCGCGTACGTGGGTCCGAGCTTTCGAGGTCCCTGCGTTCCCGCCCCACAATCCCGACTAACCCTTTCCTTCGGGGTTCTCTCATTCCGCGTCGGCGATCGACACACCTCCGGCCGTTGGCGCGGCCCCGCGCTGCTGTCGCGCAACCGGTTTCTGTCCGCCGCCCCTTCGACGGATTTTTTCGCGCCGCAGAATGTGGCGGATCTCTCAGGATTTTCTCCGGATTTCTGCGTGGCTAAGTACGGGCTGCTCCACGCGCTAGGGTTCCGGTTGTGCTGGTAGTGCTGGAACAAGTCAACGCGATCAACGCGGTCAACGCGGTCAACGCCGGCGTGCGGAGTCACGAGGGAACTTCCGTGCGTCGCCGCGCGGTCAACCCCGCTGGCGTGGGGGCTTCCGCCGTTACTACTCGTTTTGATAATCGTCCTACCGGTAGTTCCCTCGTGGCCCTTAGTACCGCTCCGAGAAACAACGCGATTCGTGTGGTAGGGGCTCGTGCTGCCAGCGGCTAGTACAGTCGGACCGCCTCTGGGGGGAGTCGCGGCTCTGGATCCACCGCAGCCAAACAGCTTGCTCGCGTCGCGGCTGAAGTCGTCGCCCTCCGAACCACCGCGACTTTCTTCGCGGCGCTCGGCGTAGGAGTACGCGCCGCTTCCCTGGCTTAGGTTTCTCGTGTGCCTGGCACCCGCCGTCGCCGCCGCTCCGCTCCGACGCAACTCGCGCTTGCTATCGCCCCCGCTTCCTCCGCTTCCGTGTCCGCTTACGTGTCCGCTTACGTGTCCGCTTCCGCCCCCGCTTCCGTGCGACCCGCGCAGGTGACATCCGCCCGAATGAGACCGCCCCGGGGTAGCCCCTCCTGGGTAGTTGCAAGCAGCATACCCTCCTCCCGCTGCGCAATAACTCCCGCTGGTGACGGAGCTGGTACACGGGCCAACCGTATGCGAGGCCGGCACGCGGGTCTTAGGCTGTGTTAACGACCGCCTAGACACACCGCACCCGTCAGCGCCGTTCCCGCCGCAGCCGCCGTTTCCGCCGCCGCCGCTGCCGCTGGTAGTAGCAGTGCGACGTGATCCTCCCGTCGAGTCGAAGCCGCCGAGTGGGCTCGCGAAACTGACAGGGCTCGCGAAGCCATCGTGATCGTACGCAGCAGCCTGCTGCGTTTGAACTCTCAGCGGCGAGTCGCTGCTCACTCTTCCGACAAATGATACCCCGCGTTTGCCGCCGCCACCCCCGGCGGGGGAGCCGCCGCCCAGGTCCTGCTGAAATCCAGGGAAATCCGGCGGCTGAGAGAGCGTCCGCCGCGACCGGCGCTGCGCGATCTCATGAGAATCAAGAGTGACGTTTCGCGATAGCGGGGACTGCGAGAGATGGTGTCGCGACGATGACAGCGGAGACCCCGTGAATTGCTGTCGCGACGATTGCGGAGACTCCATGCATTGATGTCGCGACGAATTAGGAGACTTCGTGAGATGGCGCCGCGTCGACAGCGGAGATTCCGCGAGCGTGGGGTAGTAACCGCCATCATCGTGAAGCGATGATCCCGAGGCCGTTTTTACCGGGAGATATCCAGCAGGTGACCGGCAGCGGCTCGCGGAGGCCGTCGGCGTAAGCGGCCCGGAACGAAACGTAGGGGTACCGTACGGCGGATAGTGGTGGTCGGGGGAGAAATCGTCGACGCCGCCAAGTCCCCCCCAACCGCTTCCGCTGCCGCCTCCGCGACTCACTGGCAAAATGGCTGGACCGTAGAGGTCTCCTTCCGAGTGGATGCGCGCGTTTCCTCCGCCGTCGCTGTCGCCGCCGTCATCGGCGCCGTAGAGGTCGTGAATGAGGCGAGTCAATCCCGCGGCAACAGGCGCGCGCCCCGCGGCAACGGCCGCGCCGGCGCCGGCGCTGGCGGAAAAGGGATGCGCCGAAAGCGCGGAGAACACTACCGCAGGCGGAGATTCGAACTCTTTTGACAAGCTGTTAAGACTACCCGACCCCGCTCTCCGCGGCGTGACATGCCGGTGACGCGCTCCGGCGACGCGTGCCGGCGATGAGATGGGGCAGATCTGAGATGCGTCAGGCGACCCGTGCCTGCGCCGCGAAGAAGCAGCTTCTCTTGTCGCGCCGCGGCGACCGGCGCTGCCAGACTCTGGATCTGGGTTGTCCGAGGCTACATTCTCCGAGGCTTCAGTGTGGGTGTTAGCTGTCGCCGCATGATCAGGAGCAGTTGCGGAGGTGGGGTTTGCGGAGTTGCGGTTGCTGCCACTGGCGGCGTGTGAGCAAGGGGTTTCCGATGCGTGGAACTCGTGGGATGTGTTGCCGCGGTGGTTGGTGGTAGCGGCGGTGACGGCATGGTCTGAGTCCCCAAGGGTGCATGTCACGATGCTGCGCGAATCATGATCACATTTATCCGGCCCGGGGGCGGAGCAGGGGGGCGCATCATCTTGTTTGCCTTCCGCCGCGGAAGCGGAATCGTTATGCGTGGGGGAGTCGCAGGATTTGGGGGCCGCCGGGTAGGGAGCCTCGCGGAAGAAGATTCTAGGAATGGTGTCGGAGCGAAAGCCGCGAGAAGCGCTGAGGGAGAAGCAGCCGCTGCTTGCGGCTTTGTTGCAGCTGGCGGGAGATTGCCGGCGAGTGCGGGACCCGCCTAGCTTGACCCACGATTTCATGGGGACTGAGATGAGCGTAGTATTACTAGGTTTCTACTAGAAAATGAGAACCGACTCTGTGGCTGCTGCTGCCGAATGTCTAGCTTTCTGTTGAGAGGGTGCAGTTTGGTGCTCTGGAGTGGCATGCGTTGCTATTTTTGGGATGAGAAGCAGTGAGAGTCTGTTCTCATATGACATCGCCATTCCTAGAACGCGGATTGACGGTTCGCACGGCGAAAACACATCC